AAAATATTTTTCTATAAACTTACTGCTTTAAAAAAATGTTTTAACCAACACATCTAAAAACTGCAGATTAGTTTGGTATAATATAAATATTGTCCAATATAAAATTCCAAGAAACAGATCTGGGACTGATCTCATTATCTGGTGAAATTCTAACTTATCTATGACACCTTCTAGGAAACGGCATAGTCAAGAAATTTATTTCAAGCAGACTATTCTTATTGCTTCTGCCAAAGGGAAGGTGGAGATTCGGCTGAGCTGGTGAGAGCGAAAAGGCCTCTGAGCCACTAGAGGCCTGGATTCCAGCCTCCTCTAAATGAAGACTAAGGGCGACACAGATCTAGAGTTGTCGCTGGTTCCCTGCTGTGGGGCCATCAATACGCGTCCCTCACCCCCAACAACCGAGCCACCGGATAGAAAGAGGGAAGTGGGCCCCCAGGGAAAGGAGGACAGTCCACCCTCCCTGAGCAGCTGATGAGCACAGGAGCTCTGCCTCAGAGTCTTTCTCGGTTTGGCTCCAGGGAAGGAAAAGGCCAGTGTGGGCTGGGGGTGGGGTGGGGGCACTAGAGTGAAGCTACACTGGTTTAAAATGATAAGGGGGCTGTCACCGCTGATATCACAGGTGTGAACGGTGAGTGGAGAGTAGGGTTCAGCGATAAGAAAAACCAAAGTCTACGAAACCCTTGCTTAACCAAGCAATCCACACCGACAGGGACGAACACCTCTACCCCGGGGGCCAAGGCACTCCCGGCACCTTCCCCGCTGAGGGACAGGTCCTGATGGAGGGTCTGGGTCCCAGCGGATTTATGCAGGCCAGAGGCACCTGGGAGCCTGCATGGCTCCTCTCTGGGGATTTCCATTTTATCTCTCAAGCTTTTTAGATGCCAAAAGGAAAAGCCTTTAGCAGGAGGCTAAGGATAACTTCATTATTCTTCGGTTCTGTAAAGAGAAATAGGGAGAAAAGATCATTTATTTTACTTCTTCCATCTAACAAGTATCGTGGGGGAGGAAATGGGAAACGGGGATGTGGAGGAGGATGTTTGGGATTGCAGACGCCAGGCCGGACACTGGCTTCTCCGACACGGGGCAGGTTGCTTCTCGTCACCTGCAGCAGGACACTCTGTTCCCCAGAGCTGGCCTGACCCGGCACGGGACCTCAGCAGCCCGCCGCACCCCATTCTGAGTCCGGAGTCCATGAGGCACATAGTCAGGTCGGGCAGACCCTACCTCTGGGCAGGTCAGACACTGGGTGCTTCCGATCTCTGACTACCTGCTTTACTGGGGCCATCCTATCACGTGCTTCTATTCCCTATTCCCGCTGGCGGGGTTTGTCCCCGCTGGGGCCACTGGCACCCTAGGATGTGTGTCCACCTTTTCTCAAGGACACCCCGGAGGACGAGGGATCGCAGGGGACCCGATTTTGTCCCTCTGGCGCCCTCTTCTGGAGATCAGAGACACGCGTGTTTCCAAACATTGACACTGGCTAATCCTTTGTGGACTCACCAGGTTGCAGACACCAGAATATCCCACAGCCTGGGTTCCCCGGCCTCCTCTCCCCCTTGCCTGTGATGACGTACAAAACACCCTCCACCAGAGTCGTGTCCCCTTCCAGAAAGGTCAGGACATTCTGAGGACCTTCAGAATGGAGTGGGTGCTGGGGTCCCAGGTTCCCGTCTATCAGAGCCAGCCTGGTCTAGACTTTCCTCTGGACCAGAAGGCAGGAAGAACAGATGGCGCACAGGACAGGAGTGGGCAGGGCTGCTTTTTCTTTTTCCTGCCAAGCTGGCCAAGCTCTCCAGCTTCACTAGCTCCGGGAGCCGGAGGAGCGTCAGCAGCCTGCAAGCCCACTGTCCCAGCCACGCTCTGAAGCTAGACGTGGCACCTCCCAGAGAGACTGGCTGGCCAAGGATGCCGCGAGCCCTGAGCCCCAGGAGAAGCCTCGGAGGAGGGGGCAGACCGTGACAGAACAGGGCCTTCCTTAGGCAGCAACCTGCTCTGGATTCGCAAACCCGGCCATTTTCAGCCCCTCAGGCAGAAGGAAGCTGACCTGTAAGCGATTCCAAGGATGGGAATGTTCATTTAAACACGCAGAGGAACGATCTGGGGTCTTGATTTTAGTCCTGCTTCCTAAGTGCTCTGCCCTGAGAATGTATAAGGTGAGGCTTTAGGGGATGCTGGATCATGTGCCCACTAAGGATTCGGGCTCTGCCTACTACTGCTTTATTGACTGAGTTGATAAATTTAGTCAGGGACTTGCAGCATTTATTTCTTTACTAGCTTGCAACTCAACTGGGACCCAGAGGGCCAGGAAAGGGATTAGAAACAGGCAGAGTTTGGTGGGAAAGAATCTGACAGGCAAAGAAGAGGGCACACTTCGCTGGCCTGCGGTTTCAGTGGTTTAACAACCATATACATGTTCTTCTTCATCCTGGCACTCCTAGGACCGTCTCCTAGACTCGGCTGGGACCAGAACGAGCTTGCGCCCGCCGGCTCTCCCGGGCCACACGGGAACTACCGTGCTTAGATGAGGAGACGGAGCCAAACTCGCCAGCCTCTGCAACCCCAAGCATCACCACAAGAGGGACAGAAGCAGCTGCAAGAGGGGTGCAGGTCAAGGGGCCCCACGCCGTGCCCTGTGGGCTGGCCGCATGCAGGGGCAGGAGACAGCAAGCAGACGGCACAGGTGGATGCATGCAACAGCTGTGGGGAGCATGCTGGGGAAGGGCAGGAATGAAAATGAACATGAACTCCAGCTCCACCCTGTGAGGATGGCATCAAACTGAGCGAGGACCGTGTTTAAGGGCCGCAAAGTCCACCAGCCCCTCCTTCTCAACGTGGGGCACAGCCTGCAGATGAGGAGAGGAGAGCTCCTCCTTCACCCCAAGAGCAGCCCTAGGGCACGGTCTCCACCCCACAGAAGAGCCAAGTGTGAATCGGTGCGAGAGGCCCCCCAAGACCCTGTCGGGGAGAGACCCACCCTGGGCGATGCAGAGTCTGCTGTCTAATCATAACAGAGAAGAGACTTTCCCTCCCTCTTCCCGAGGTCCTGGCTCGGAGCCCAGGGATGGTGGCCATCTGACCCCGCAGCCTGAGGCCTGGCATCTGTCCCCTAACTGTCCTTTCTGTTCCAATGGCTCCTCACATCCACAAGGAGCACCTGCCCGAGCCCCCGGAATCAGGCCTGTCCTGGCCACAGCTCTGTCCACAGGGACCTCTGCGGGACCCCAGGTGCATCCCGCCCTCCCTATTCTTAATCCAGGGGCTGCAGATGTTTTTTGTAAAGGGCCTGATACTGACTCTTCTGGGCCCTGTGGGCCACGTGTTCTCTGCTGCAACTACTTGCCCCGGCCACAGCGGCGTGGAAGCCACCACAGACCACGGGAAAACGAAAGAGTGGCCACGCTTCAGTCACACCGAGCTTACTGACCAGGGCTGCAGTCGGCCACTCCTTCCTCTGACCCGGAAAACCTGCCTGTCCCACCACAAGGGTTTGGGTTTTTTTTTCCACACGAGGCTTGCTTCTTAGGGCAGGACGAAGTGGCAGGGCGACACCCAGTGGTTCCCGAGGGGGACGACAGTTCGGCCCCCAGCCTCACAAGGGGGCGCTAGCTCCCCACCAGCTGGTCCATGAGGCCCACCCGGAACTTATGTCCCCTGGGCTCCCAGAACCCTGCAGCCCTGGGAGGGGGGCCGGGTCACACAGCGACCCCCGTGCTAGCGAAGAGTGAGACCGCTTGGTGCACAGAATGTACCAACTGCTTATGAAGGCGGCGGAGGAGGGGAGGTTTAGACCGCGACACTCATGTTGGGGACACATTACCAGACAGGAGGAGGGAAGCACCACTGGTCTAAGAAGTCAGTCTCCTTACCAAAAGGATTTGCAAGAATATGTGTGGCTCAGGACCTAAGGAACTTGCTACAGGGAAGTGAGGTCAGAGGTCAGCTCAATCCTGAAATATAAAGGCAGCAAACCGGGTCACACTCAGAGGCAGTGTCACCAGCACCGGGGGTGCGGGGGCTCCCGTGGAGGCCACCTTCCCCTGCTCCGGGTCTTCCTCAGGCTGTGCCTACGCTGCCACCCCTCCGCCCCAGGGGAAGAGCCTTCCAGGCCAGGTTTGGAAGAGGCGGGTGACAGCTGGGGGAGGGGAAGTGGGCATTCTCGCAGGCAAAGCAGCTTCTGACTTTTGAGGGACCCTGAGTGGCGTGGCCAGCGGCAACGAAAGGGTGTGTGAGTTATGGATTCGAATAAGCCCTCCTGTCCTCTGTGACCCTAGGACCCCAGCCTGGGCTCCCGCTGAGACGCCTGCTTGGGCCGAAGCACAACGCACAGCACGCCAGGCTCCAGGCCGGCCCAGGGGGGCGTGCAGGAGACAGCTGGGCTGGGGGTCTGACCACTGGTTCTCTCCCCAGCTGTTCTGCTGCTTCCAGAGTGTTCCTTAGCACCCTGGCGGGATGGAGGGAGGCCCACGGGTGTGCAGTGGGTGTCTGGCGGGGGCGCGGGCCGTGAAGCTGAGAAGCTAGGCAGCTGCAGTTGTGTGGGAGAACAGACACAAACCGGCCGCAGACGCTGGGCGAGGAGGGGCGGGAGGGAGGGGAGCTGCCAAATGGACGAGCAGGGAGGATGGCGCCCTGTCCTGCAGTGACAGACCGGTTTTGTCATGAACTCGCCGTGTGAGGGATCTGCTCCGGGCCCTTGCCGGCCTCTCGCTTTTCCCTTTCCAGTGGGGGCGAGGCGGGCAGGGGAGGGGTTCAGCCGCCTTGCCCTCCTCCCCAGCTCCCCCGAGGGGACTGTCTCCAGGGGAAAGCGAGCCTGGCTGAGGAGAGCCAGGACAGGAAAGATCCCCTAAACCGGAGATGGGGGCGTGGCAGCGGGTGGGGGCAGCGGCTCGCCCGAGTGCGCAGGGGCAGGACGGTCAGGGCTCGGCGCCTGGTGCCCTGCGGTCCCAAGAGGAAGGTGCACGGCCTACCTCTGCTCCTCCTCCAGCTCCTCTTTGGTCATCATCTTCTTGTACTGGTTTCCCCGCAGCTTCCCGGGGCTGTATTTAAAGGAGAAGACCTCTCCCCCTGCAGAGAGGAGACGGGGTCAGAGCCGGCGCAAGGGTCTGAGTGCTGGGGGCCTCCCCCAGACTCAGGGTCCCCTTCCCCTTTTGTTAGTTTCAAAAGGGCCGTCTGGGCCAGAGGGGGTCCCCCCAGTTCCCCACACAGGTGCTGCTGGGCCTCAGAGAGGGTGCTTGCGACGTGTCTTCTTGCCGGACAGGCCTTCCTCCCACACTCTGTCCATGAAGTCCCACGGCAACTTAGGAGCTCCAAGTGGGGATACAGAGACAAAAACAAAACAGCTGGGGAGAAACCAGTCCCCCTCCTCAAACAGCACAGCTCCAGCCACCAAACGATGGTTCCCCTCCAAGACTGGGTTGAGCCGTCCACACGGCAGTCTGGCTGCCCCGCTCTAGCAAAGGCTCCCGCCAAGCCGGTCTGTGAGGATGGCCTACCCTCGTCTTTGAAGTCCCCCCATTACTGGGGGGCGAATCACATCAGACAGAGCAGGCTGTGCCAGGGTGCTGGGCTCCCTGACTCACAGGGACTCCTGAGCCTCCTGCTGTGGTCCTCCAGCTCCGGGGCCTGGGGATGCCCACCAGTGATTAGAAATCTGAAACAGGGGCGCCTGGGTGGCTCAGATGGTTAAGCGTCTGCCTTCGGCTCAGGTCATGATCCCAGGGTCCTGGGATCGAGTCCCGCATCAGGCTCCCTGCTCCTTGGGAGCCTGCTTCTCCCTTTGTTTCTCTCTCTCTATCATGAATAAATAAATAAAATCTTTAAAAAAAAAAAAAAAAAAGGAAATCTGAAACAATGCATCCAGCCCACGGTAGGACATGGGAGTGATGTGGCATTTTTCACACCGTTTTGAATTTGGGTATCACAACTGGCACATATTACTGAATAGTTGTACCAGGATTTGCCAACCCCTAAGAGCAGACTCCTAGCTGCCTTAAAACAAACGCTCTCGGGGCGCCTGGGTGGCTCAGTTGGTTAAGCGACTGCCTTCGGCTCAGGTCATGATCCTGGAGTCCCGGGATCGAGTCCCGCATCGGGCTCCCTGCTCGGCAGGGAGTCTGCTTCTCCCTCTGACCCTCCCCCCTCTCATGTGTTCTCTCTCAAATAAATAAATAAAATCTTAAAAACAAAAACAAAAAACGCTCTCGAGGCCTGAGGAGGGCACACCAGAGGTCTGAGCAGAGGAAAGCAGGAACGTGACACAGGGAGCAAGGACAGGGGCTGGGCACACAGATGCGGGCGGCAGGGCAGAAGAGGAAAGCCCTCCAGAGCATCGCCCTGGGATGAGCATCCAGGAGGAGAGAGTCCCCTCGGGAACTGATGCCCTGAAGTAGGTGTAGGGCAGACGGCCTCCGGCCACCCCCGGAACAGAGACTGAATGGCTTGTCTTGTCTAATTCCCAGGAAGGCTTAAAGAATTGAGTAAGGGAAATGCGGAGGCCAGCAAATCACCCTCCCACACAGATGTAGTCCTTTTCAGTTCTGTTCTAGAGGGTTTACCTCTTTGTCACTCCAACGTCAGGAATCTCAAACACCTCCACATCCTGCCCCAGGCCACCCTCACCTCTGGCTGGGGGCTGTCCTGCCTGATCAGACAGGCTGGTGTGGGCCCAGGGGGAGGAGAACGCCTTGGCCGCTCGGATTCAGCTTCTCTCTGGGCTGAAGGAAGAAGGTTCTGGATGCAAATTCAAAACCCAAATGTTATGAGATGGGGGCCATGTTCTCTCCAAAACCTCGCCCGGGAGGAGAAGGCTGGTGGGCTCCACAGTCCTCCTGTGGCCCCCTCACCCCAGCCAACTGCCCAGGGGCTGAAGCCTTGCCTTAGGAAGAAGTTACTACATCTGTACAAGGATTCCTTTGCTCTTCATTCTTTCTGCAAATATTTAGTGAGCACTATGCTAGGGGCTGGGGACTTAGCAGTGAATAAAACATACAGCAAGCAAAGATAAGTCAAATGCAGTCTGAAGTTGGTCACGTGTGCTCTGCAGAAAGGATGGGGGTGTGGGAGGCAGGGAGGGAGCTGCTTGGAAGCTTCACCGGGGGTGGGGTGGGGGTGGCATCAGGATGGGTTTTGCAGATGGTAGTTGAGAGGATGTGGTGAGTTGAGCCCTGCAGTGTCTGGGGAGACAGATCCAGCAAAGCAAGGAGGCCAGTGGCCCTGGGTGGCAGAGAGGGGGGGGCCAGGTCATCAAGGGCGGGGGAGGGGACTTGGTTCTTCCTCCGGGTGAGATGGGGCTTGGTGCAGAGGCAGGGGAGTGAGGTCCCACCGCTCCTCACTGGGGACTCCAGCCCCCATTGGCCGGCTCTTCCTCCAGGCTGAGCTCTGCTCAGGCCAACAAGCAAAGGCGGGAGAGTTCCATTCCTTGTGGGCCCACAGAACTCCGGGGCTTCCAACAGCACCAGGTGTGGGCTGCCTGCATCGGGCAATCTGGGTACTTTGCTGAGTGATTCAGAGCTGCTGTCTGAGGGGCCTGGGTCCTTGGTGGTCCGGAAAGCCCCAAAAAGCCTGCCAGAGGGGCGGAATCACACAGAGATTGCGGTCTCAGCATGAGCTCACAACCTACGCTCCATACTGGCCCACCAGACAAAGAAAACCAATTAACCTCAACGTCAAGGTCACTGTGTTGCTATGTTTTAGAAAAATAAAACATAAAAAATTCTGCCAGCTGGGTACGACTCAAGGTTTCCATTTATGGGGCAGGTCTGATTAGTCTGAGGTTTTCGGGGCCAGGCAGAACAAACGACTAGAAAAGGCTTTCACTGAATCACATCGAATGTGGTGTACCAAGGGATACACAGTCGCATCCAATTTCGCTAGACCGGGAGGTTTTGATGTGAGGGCCTCCTGGGAGCAGGACTTCCTCCTGCAGCCTTCTGTGAGTCACCAGGTCGCTCAGGGAGGGTGTCTGAGCGACACTAATCAATTAGCCTGAGAGCTGAGCTGCTCACTGCAGAGGGACTGGGGGCCTGCTCCTCTTTTCCTCGGACAGCTGCGGCCACAAACCTCCCCTCCCTCGCCTTGTCAGAGCTGGCAGGAGGCGGCTGGGGGGTGGGGGATGTCCAGGGGGCAGCAGTCAGACAAGGAGGGAGGGCCCCTGACCAGGGAGGGCCCCTGACCACGCAGGGTGTGAGGCTGGTGTGAGCCTCTCCTTGTCCTGGCCAGGGGCCTCTGGCAGCCTCGGCTCCAGCCCCTTTCTGTGTCCCCGAGTCACTAACAGGATCCTGACTTTGGGCATCCCTGCAGCCACCTGGCGCCACGGGGCAGGGATAGACCCCAGGGCCACAGTTCCTGTGCATCTCTAACCTGCAGATGATGGAGGAGAACCAAGGGCTCCAGGGAGAGCAGGTGACCCCCCTCCCACCTCCGCAGCTGCCCGCCCTTCCCTCCTCCTCTGAGGCAGTACTGAGAAGCCCCAGCCCCATGGGGCCTCAGTGGGGAGCTGTGGGCCCCCCAGCGCTGCCCTGCTGCTGGCCCACACGCCCACACCAGCCGTGATCACGGCATTCCTGCAACCCGCTCTTTCCACTGCTCCTGCCAGCAGTCAGCTGAAAACCACGGCAACAGTCCCACTTTTTAAAAAATGATGAAATATTTCAAACATAAACAAAAGTACGAGTAATAAGTCCTCCATGTACTTTCCATATAGATTTAACAAGTGTTGACATGTTGCTTTTGTTTGTTTGTTTTTGTTTTTTTAAAGAAATAAAACACGACAGACCCAGCAGAAACCCAGACCATGTGTGGTTCTGTCTCTGTCTGTCCAGGACACTGGCCCCTGGGGCTGCCCAGGGCAAACCCACGGCCTTCCACCCGGTCAGGTTCCAATTGGCCAGGTTTTTTTTGTTGTTTTTTTTTGTTTTTTTTTCAATTGGCCAGTTTTCTTAATGCTCCCGGTCACTCCCGCTTGCTTGTCCTGGCCGGCCAGAGTCTGATGGCAGGGAGGTCTGGCCAGTTAGCCTGAGCTGCTTGGAAATCAGGCGTCTCCTCCCCTGGGGCCTTCATTGTGCAGAACGCCTGGGCAGTGGCCCTGTGAGTGGCTTTTGTCCCCATCAGATAGATCGGGAGACGCTTGGCAAGAAACTGAAATGCACAAGCAGTGACCGGAGAGGAGCTAGGAGGCAGGGCAGGAAATGGAAGGTCAGGGTGCTCGATTTACTGGCGAGATGGGCCTTCTGTATTCGGAAGACAACTCAGTGTGAGACAGGAAAGTGGGGAGAGAAAGAGCAAAGGCGACAGGGCTGGGGAGCTGCAGTCTGGAGGCTGGGTCCTACTCACCATCCTCTTCCTCAGGCACTGCTTGGGGTGGGCCCTCCTGGCCATCCTGCTCCTTCTCCTGCTCCTCTTCCTGCAAGACAAGGAGAGAGTCAGCACCGGGTGCCAGGAGCTCGAGAGGGTTCACTCTGATACGGTCATCCAGGTGCCTGACTCCTTGGTGAAAGCCACCCGACCCTGGGGGCAATGGTCAACCAGCGGGTGGAAGCTGTGTGAGCTCTGCGCAAACGCTGTGTGGCCGAGATGACAAGGGGGAGGCTGTGGCCCAAGGAGCTGTGCTTTTGACCTTTGAACCTCAGTCCCTTTATGCTTTCTGGGTGGGTGGCCTGTCAAAGCCTTTGGATGCCATTTTGGTAACAGGACAGGGGACCGCCCCCGCCCCCACCCTGCTCCAGTGACTAGAACTAAAGGCACAAGAGGAGGGCTGGCGGGCCATCTGGAGCCCAGACAGGGCTGGGCCATCACAGAGGAGCTGCGCTCATGGGCGCAGACTCTGTCTCTGCCTCCTGGCACCTTGTTTCTACCCCTAACAGTTTCAGTGTCCATCTTTCCAAAATTGGAGTTCCACCTCCTTCAGGCCCAGCGTTCTCCCACCAATGGACTCAATAAACAGATGGCTGGAAGGAGTGTCCCAAGATGGCCTTCTTGGGAGGAAGGAGTGACTTCAACCTGCAGGAATGCTGGGGGGTACTGGGATGCGCTGATCCTCCAGCTACAGGGATTTTAGGCGCGGCCCAGGGAACTGTGAGGGGAAGCCAGAGGGCAAATACGGACACATCTGCGGGTTTAGAGAGGGAAGCACACACAGGAGGAGAAAGTCGCCCGCTTGCTTGTCCTGGCCGGCCAGAGTCTGATGGCAGGGAGGTCTGGCCAGTTAGCCTGAGCTGCTTGGAAATCAGGCGTCTCCTCCCCTGGGGCCTTCATTGTGCAGAACGCCGAGGCCTTTGGGACTCCACTCCCAGGGCAGGCGCACAAAGCGGCCTGCAGCAGGCTCCCTCACAAAACAGGGCGAGCGAAGCTGGCCTGCAAGTTTGCACAAGCCCAACGGCCGGTGATGAGTGGCAAACCCCGAAAGGCCTTGAGTTTCCTGGGACTCACACAAAATGCAGCCAGGAGGGGCAGGGCGGGAGGCAGGAGCCGGACTTCTCCGCTTAGCAGTGTCCAGCAAGCTCAGCACCACCAAGATGGGAGCCACGCTGCCCTGAGCACCGCGGTGATGCCCCCCAGGATTTTGCACAGCAAAGCGTCTTTGTGGCTGTGGGGAGGGGGGCAGGCCTCTTCGGGGGAGGCAGGAAAAGGAGACATCCCTTTGACCCAGCAAACCCACTTCTGGGGATCTGCCCTGGACTGGAAAACCATATGTTCAGGTTTTTATACAAGGACTCTGTGTGCAGCAGAAAACACGCCAAACTGGAAACAAGGAAATGTTCATCCTTAGAGTTAAATCTCTTACAGTTAAATATATTTGGTTAACAAGTTCACCACGATATTAATAGGTTAAAATTGGCACGGTATGCATGCCCCATGCGACACTGTGCTTTAAAAAGGAGGCAACCACAGAAACTGATGTGAGAAATGCATCAGGGTAAATCACCAAGAGTGAAAAAGCAAGGGGCAGCGCAATGTGAGAGGGGCAATCTTCTCGGTGTAAATATAAAAATGGAAAGGCACCTCCATGCTCATAAATGCTGAGGAAAGGTTTTCTGGAAGGACACGAAAGGCACTGTGATCAGTGACTACCTTTGGGGGCGGGGCTACCTTGGGGGAGGGGTGGCCCTTCTCTGTTCATCTCATACACTTCAGTATATTTGGATTTTCTAATAATATATATGAATATGCATTAATTGCTCCTAACATATTTAAGGAATGCTACACAGGGGTCTCTGAACTGTGAAATCTGATTTTCTTTTTTTTTTAAGAAAGAGAAAAAGAAAAAAAGAGAGACAAACAGCCATTAACCCATTCAGGGCTGGACCCCAGAAATCAGCCCAATATCGAGACTAGAGAGGTCGATTCTCCCATTATGTGTGAGGGACACCAAGATAAAAGAGAAATAAGCACAGTCCCTCCCTCAAGGAACTCATGATCCAGTTGGGAAGACACCTACACAAATAATTGCCATCCAAGGTAAGAACATCAAGAGCCGAGGCAGACCCCACCATCCCAGAGGGACACAGTGAAGATTGACCTGCCAACACTCTCCCCGGGGGGAGACTGGTCTATGTTTAAATCTTGCACTTGACTTCTGAAGTGTTCTGTTTCTTAAACTGTGGTTGTGGTCCCACTGGCAGGTTAGGAAAGCAATTTAGAGGTCGCTACTGATTTTTTTTTAAAATATGCAACCCGAGTCTTAGTGTGGTTTTCAACTTTAATAATTTCAGAAGCATAAATGCTAAAAACATACCAAAAAACGACATTGGAAAGGTTATTTACATTTTAAATATATTGATTGTTTCTCATTCAAATTCATGTAATTACCACAGTCCAGCGCTAGATATAGCTCTAGTTGATTTTCAAACTTCCAAAAAATATTCATGGCCCGAGGTTCAGTGGCTGAGGGACCGCCTTTGTGACACCAGCCTTTTGATCTTGATTTGATACACACCTGACCGCCTGGACATGACTTCAAGGGAGGCTGACCAGCTCGCCAAGGTGCCCGTGGGAGAGGGCTCCTCCACCTGCCTACCCATCCGGACTCTGGCACGCACAAAGAATTAAAATGAAAAACTTGGCATTCAAATGTCAGGAAGCTAAGTATAAGAGGAATTTAAATAAGTAAATATTCAACGGATGTGTGTTGTAGCTTTGTAGCATTTACATTTCTCAAGTTATTAAAACTTAAAACTGCACTAAGACTTTGGGGGTACCCCTGTATCCCGGAATTAAATGAAAGATAAATAGTGTTATGTGTGTGGTAGACAGAGATACCATTTGATAAAATTTTTTTCTTTTCTTTTTTTTAAAGATTTTATTTATTTGACAGAGAGAGACACAGAAAGAGAGGGAACACAAGCAGGGGGAGTGGGAGAGGGAGAAGCAGGCTTCCCGCGGACCGGGGAGCCCGATGCGGGGCTTGATCCCAGGACCCTGGGATCATGACCCGAGCCAAAGGCAGACGCCTAACGACTGAGCCACCCAGGCGCCTCCCGTTTGATAAAATTTCTGGCGTGCTTCTGTGGCTTTATATATGGGGATGCAATTTAAAATAGATTTTTTTTTTTAAAGATTTTATTTATTTATTCATGAGAGACAGAGAGAGAGAGAGGCAGAGGGAGAAGCAGGCTCCCCGCAGAGCAGGGAGCCCGATGCGGGACTCGATCCCAGGACCCTGGGATCATGACCTGAGCCGAAGGCAGACGCTTAACCATCTGAGCCATCCAGGCGCCCTAAAATAGATTTTTTTTATTGGAGACTTCATCAAGTTTGGAAAGTAGTGCTGAGTTGGCCACGTCCTGCTTTCTGTCTGTGCAGAAATCCCCTTCCTTCAGAAGATGCCCCTTGAAGCCCGTGGGCCCGGTGGGCACTGCCCCAGGCAGTCAGTGCCCCTCTCGCAAGGGACCAGCATGCAGAGGGGACCCATGGCCCAACTCTGCTGGGGGAGAAGGGAGCTCTGGTCCCCGAGGTGGGAGCCCCTGGCTGTGCTTGTCCCCGAGGCCACTCCAGCCTGACCTTTCCCTATCCGTGAGCGACTCAACTCCCAGTTTTGCGAAAGCTGACCGAGCCAAGTGGCTGTCACCCTGTCACTGTCTGATCACACCCTACTTTGCAAGCTCAGAACAGGTCAAGTGCTCATGGGAGAGGGCTACCTGCGTCCGATTCCAGCAGCACAGCAGCTGAGGGTTGGGCAGTGACAGAAGCTTCCAATGGTGCTGTGGGGAGGTGCCCCCCCAGCCCCCCCACCTGCAGGCTTCTCTGGGTTACTTTAGATGACATCACCATGATGGAAAGGAGTCCATTATTAAACAAAACACTGTTGGGGCGCCTGGGTGGCTCAGTCGGTTAAGCGTCTGCCTTCGGCTCAGGTCATGATCCCAGGGTCCTGGGAGCTAGTCCCGCATCGGGCTCCCTGCTCAGCGGGGAGCCTGCTTCTCCCTCTCCCTGCCGCTCTGCATACTTGTGATCCCTCTCTTTCTCTCAAATAAATAAGATCTTTAAAACGCCCCCCCCCAAAAACACTGTTTATTGCATTTTGCCCTTATTTTATAAAAAACGTGTACACGAAAGGAAAACGGGAAGTGCTGATACCAGTAATAAGATGGGCGCGGGTCTCGTACACAGTGTCCTTGGGACAAAGACGGCCGTCCTTTTGGAGTTGGTGGCCCTTGGGCATCCCTCCAGACGGTGAACTGTGTGTGTGACAGCGAAGGAGGGCGGTAAGGTGCAACCATGCACAAAATGCTGGAGCAAGAGCCGTCGGAAAGGCCGTACCTCTTTACCTTCCTTCTTACGACACGTCCCACCTTCCATCCTGCTTTGGCACGTGCAGTTTTGAAGGTATGTTTTCTGGAGCACATTGTGTGTCTCAGCAACAGGGTAGAGGGGCCCCGAGGAGGGCAGCTCGGCTGAGCTTGAGGGGCACAGTGAGGCCCCAGAGGGGACGCCAGGCAGGGAGCATCAGAGCTTTTGCAATGACTTGCTGGAGTTTGATGTGGTTGCAAGGGATTGCAGGGTGGGGGTCAGGAGGCAGGGCTCAGACCGGGGAGATCTTACAGGGGACAAGGCAACGAGGGGCCCCCAGCAGCTTTTAAATGGGGAGAAACGGGAGGAGACTGGAATTTTTGGAGCAGGAAGTGGAATGGCATAGTGAGGGCAGGATCGGAGGCAGGAAGAACTCCTAGAAGGGGGTTCAAAGCGCAGGTAGGGGATGTCAGGCCTGAACTGGGAGGTGAAGGGGCTCTGGCCCCCAGCTCAGTGTTTGTTGAATGAATCAGCGAAGGACTGGCTGCCCCTGGCTGAAGGCAATCCCCTGGGGGCCTCGAGGTCCGAATCCCACCCACCCTTGCGCTTGCTTCCCCACATAGCTGGGCTAGGACCACGCCTGGGGCCAGCACAACCCCACAGGTGCTCAGAGTGCTGACTGCACGCCAGCAAGAGGCCATCACTCTCCATTTCCGGTCAATGCCCTTGGTCCTGAGCGGGTTGCAAGGTACCCTGCATTGTGGGCTGAACTGTGTCCCTCCCCACATTCATAGGCTGAGGTCCAAACTGCAAGTATCTCAGACTGTCACTACATTTGGAGAGACGGCCTTTGAAGAAGGAATTAAGTTAAAATGAGGCCCATGGGGCGGGTCCCAACCCAATTTGACTGGTGTCCTTTTAAGAGGAAATCTGTAAGAAAGGACACACGCGAGAGACACCAGGGGTGCGTGTGCTCATGGAAAGACCCTGTGAGGACGTGGCGAGAAGGCAGCACCTGCACACCAGGGACAGAGGCCTCGGGAGAGAGCGGCCCTGCCCGCGCTGGGACCTCACTGTTCCGGAGAAAAGACAGGTCTGCGTTTCAAGCCGCCCAGTCTGGTACGTGGTCGCGGCAGCCCTAGCAAGCCAACACACGGCGCTCTAATGAGAGTAAACCAGGGCGCCTGGGTGGCTCAGTTGGTTGGACGACTGCCTTCGGCTCAGGTCATGATCCTGGAGTCCCAGGATCGAGTCCCGCATCGGGCTCCCTGCTCGGCAGGGAGTCTGCTTCTCCCTCTGACCCTCTCCCCTCTCATGCTCTATGTCATTCTCTCTCTCAAATAAATACATACAATCTTTAAAAAAATAAAATAAAATAGGGCGCCTGGGTTGCTCAGTTGGTTGAGCCACTGCCTTCGGCTCAGGTCATGATCCTGGAGTCCCTGGATCGAGTCCCGCATCGGGCTCCCTGCTCGGCAGGGAGTCTGCTTCTCCCTCTGACCCTCCCCACCTCATGCTTTCTCTCTCTTTCAAATAAATAAATAAAATCTTAAAAAAAAAAAAAAAGAAAGTAAACCAGTTTCGTGAAAACTGTGAATTGGCGACGCCCTCTGAGACGGACAGCTGGTGTCACCCTGGCTGGTCACCAAGACAGTCTGGGGCTGGGATCCAACCCCCTCACCTCACTGACCAGAGTCCCAGCATTCCACTACTGGACAGAGCCCAAGTTTTAACTTCACGTGTCCCGGGACACTTCTCCAATTCAGCCGTTTCCTCCAGTGGAGGGCTGGCTGGGGGGAGAGGCCAAGCACTGGGGCCAGGGGCTCCCAGAGGCCAAGGAGGGAGGCTTCTCGGAGCCAGCGCGAGCCTGCAGGCAGCACATTGCCATTTATGGCTGTCCTGGCGGATCCAGGCCTGATGCACCGCGCTGAAGCAGAGGAGGGAGAGAGAGAGAGACAGAGAGAGGGGCACCGAGACAGGGCGTGGGGAAGAGGCAGACAGAGAGAGAGAACCAGACATTTTTCTGTCTGCCCGAGGAGATGGTTCTGCCCTGGGGTCCTGCACTCAGGACCTGCTGTGACCCTGTGACCAGCCACCAGAGCTGAGTCGGGCTGTGACTACAACAAGCCCCCCGGTTAATCCAGGATGATTTTAGAGGACCACAGGTCCACTTCCACGGGGATGCCTGTCCCTCCCTCCCCTGCAGCAGCCAGCACAGAGAACAGGAAGCTCTCAAGGGGCCCGCACGATTCCCCATGCCCTCCTCCGCAGCCTGGGTCAGGCCCCATCCACCGCAGCACGTCGGCAGGTTTCCAAGGGGGGCACCAAGAGTGGGCAGGGTGTGGGGGCTGCCTTCCGGCTCCTACCGCAGGCAGAGTGGGTCTGACAAGGCTCTCCCCTCTTCCAGAAAGAGTCCATTAGGCCATCGGGCTGTTCATCCTGTGCGTTCAGAGGGGCACAGCTACGGGCAAGCAGAGGGCGCAGAGCTGGCGCCCGCTCCGAGCGCCTGTGCTGGGCGGGGAGGGCAGGCCGGCAGAGGTCACGGCGGCCCTCTCCGCCCGCACGTCTCAACAGCTCAGCCACTGCGCGCCTAAGTGACAGCTCAGGCCGAGGACGCTCGGGCCAGCCCTCTAAATCCATATTTGCAGCTGGGTAAGGCACATCCCCTTAGACAAGGAACTGACGTCTTCTTATCCTAAACTGGCCCCTCTCAACTCGTCAGTTTTTCTCTGCGGTCACAGCATCTTTGACACTTTGTCACGGCCTGGGAAGGGTGATCCAAGCCAGCCGCTTCCTTTCCACTTCTCGATCACCACCCCCCCACCCCCATTCTCCATGCTCCTGCCAATCACTCAGTGCCAGATACGGATACGGCACTGTGTCCTTGACCTTACTCTTCCCCAACTCATTTGCTCTGAGAACATCTTCAAATGCCAGCTTTATGATGTTTTTTTCCTACTAAAACCCTAAAATGACCGCTGCTGTGCTCAATTCAAATAATCCCCGGCCTCTGAGGTCCTCCTGCTTCAGAGGCCGTGAGGTCAGTCCCTAATGCTTACTGGGAGGTGCTCTCCTCTCCCGCCCACGGGGGTGGGGGTGTGCCATGGGAGGGCAGGCAGGAACTTGGGGTCACTCTTGGAACCAAAGCCTTGGGCACACGGTCTGCCCTTCCCCATTCACCTCTGGGTGCTCCTCCTTCCTCTATCTGCGTGGGGTCCTCTGAGGCCACAGGACCTGGCGAGAATGGTTTTGAGCTCAGTTTTTATCCTGGCTCAGCAGGCAGAGCCCTGGAGCTCCATGGGGGGCAGGGAGGCGGTACTGAAGGGATTACTGTAAGGAGGGAGGTGGGAATAGAGGGGCCAAGACCCCCCCCCCCACACACAGAGCAGTTCTGCTTTAGCTCTACACACTGGACTTCCATCTAAGATTGAAGAAGGAAAAAGGTATCTAGTGCTTTTAAAAATGTGGGAAAACCAGTGATCTAATGTGGCTTTGACCCAAGACAAAACCCTAGCTGCACTGATGCATCGCCAGTTATCCAGTCTCTGTTTGAACACTTCTAGCCTCGGGGAGCTCACCACCTTACAGGGCAGTCTGGGGCATGACACACAGCTCTACAGCATGCAGACAAGACACAAGGCCCTGGGCCAGAGGCCTGGGGCACGAGGAGAAACGGCCTCTGCCCGCTGCCCGGGGCAGTGCTATGAGGAGGCATCATCTGCCTTGTGGCAGGGGCCACCGGCATTCCTTCTCTTCGTCGTTCTTGCAGCTCACACATTCAACAAGCATGTACTGGGCGCTGCTGTGTGCTGAGCCCGCTATAGCAGCTGGGGATGTGGCCACGAACGTGGCAGGCCCATCCTCCTGAACCGACATCCTGCTGCGGCAGACAATGGACACGAACATAAAGGATAACCTCAGACCACACGGGGTGCCGTGAAGAAAGCCAGAGAGGGGGGTGTGCTGGAGTAGGGGTTGGGGACTGTATGTTCACCAAGGTGCTCGGGGACACATACACTTGAAAGGTGAAGAGGAACAACTGTGTGGAAGTCTAGGCCAGGAAGGGTCTGCCAGGCAGAGCGAAGAGCAAATCCCAGGCTCCAGCTGAGGTGCAGGTCTGGGACACGGCAGAGGGGGCACGGGGACAGCTGGGACAGGATGCAGAGCCGGCCACAGGGGCCATGCTGAGAGTTCGCAATTAATTCTGCATGTGACGGGAGCCATCGCAGGGCTTGGAGCAGGAGAGTCTGGGATGTGGTTTCCATGTGATAAAGATGGTGCCCGTTGCTAGATGGAACATGGGGGGCGGGCTGGAAGCCGGGGGAGCCGCTGGGAGCAAATGGCACAGCCCAGGTGAGCCACGGACCGCAGGAGAGAGGATAGCCTGACTTCAGGAGGTACTCCGCAGACAGAGGTGACAGGACTTGCTGATGGAGGGACTTCAGGCCGGAAAATAAGAAAACGAGGATGTCGTGTGGGCTCTCAGCCTGAGCGGCTTCGGAGGGCCGTGGAGGAACTCCAAGCAGATGACTAAGAACAGTGGGGGCAGGGAGGGGCCGAAGGCAGAAGTCAAGAACTCTTAACAGACACGGGGGTCTCAGGTGGCCTCAGGAGCTCACTGGACAACCACGGGCAAGTGTTGAGGAGGCGGCCGGCCACCGGAGGTCAAACTCAAGGAGAGGCTGGGCACCATCAGCTATTGATCACGCTGACAGTGGCCAGCGTGTTCTGGAAGACAGGCCTAGAAGTGAGTCGTCCACTTGATATGGGCATGAGCTTTTCCAGCATGGACAAAGAACAAAGGAAGAATACTGGGTAAGAGGCTGACTCAGGAGGCAGGGCTCGGGGAAGGGGGGAGTAGATTGAGATCTAGAGTTCACGGCCCAGCACACAGGCCCAGCACACAAAGCCCGGGGGCAGGGAGGAGCCAGGCTGCAGAGCCGAGTTCAACCAGCCAGACTAAAAGGGCCATCCTGGACTCCGACCTCACATCCCAATCGAGGGCACATTCACAAGCCCTACACACACTCTCTTGCTCAGATGGCCAAGCATGCCAGATCCAATCCCATCAGATTAACGGTTTTGGGCATTGTTCCTACAAAGAGGATTTGGAGAGCATCAAAAGCCTCATTAAAAAAAAACACCCAGGGGCAGAAATGGGCATTCTCCCCTTATCAGCAAGGATTAGGTGGAATTTTTGTGTCTAGGTTTTGCGGGGGCAGGGGATAAATAGAGACGCTTGAGCACAGGGAGGAGAGCTCATGGACTGACATGACCAGAACGAGAAGGGTGGGAGGAAATGAAATCGCTGTGTTGGGGACCAACCAGGCTGAAGAACTTTGATCAGGACCAACTTTAAGGGTCATAATAGAAGACAGGTGTTTAGTGTTTAAAGTCTCTAAGGAGGCCTCAACCACAGGCACAGGAACTGGTGAGACTTCATGAAGAATAAACATAAGAATGCTGTGACCCCCCAGGAGTAGGGTTTACTGATCTTCACAGGACACCACCGGGCTGGAGGTATTTGCTTGTCTTGGGATTGAGCTCAGAATCTGAGTCATCAGCACATCAGCATCTGGCCAGGAGAAACACTAGTAATACCAAGGTCACAGAATTAGGTTCTTGCTGAGAACATGCCCAGGGCTGTCTCAAGCAGAGGTTGGCCAGAGTTAACAATGAGTGCAGGGAGTTCTTACTTGCAAATACTAGACACGGGTGCACACATGCACAACCCCCTCCCCCACAGGCCACGAAACAGGAGCTGGTAATGGGAAAGCTCTAGGAGAGATCAGAGATGGTTTTAGTTCAACCCCTTCCATTTGGGGAAACTGAGGCCCAGAGGTTATATGACTTCCCCCAGTCCTATGGCTATTCAGAGGCAAAGATATTAGTTGAACAAGTACCATGAATTCTCACACCAGGTTTCCTTCGGACCAGTTAATGTCATTTGCTCTTCTTCAGCCCCGGTGGCCAGGAGGATGTGACCGATCCTTCTCCCTCCCGGGCAGGAGGGCAGGGACACCCTGCGCAGCATCCCAGCCCTCCTTCATGGCTCGGACTGAGCAGCAAGCCGCTCTGTCCATGCAGAGCACCCCTTACAGGAGGAGGTTTCTGAACCCCATCAAAGTCCTGCTTCGTTCATCTGTCCCTAACAGCAGCCAAGCGATTGTGGTCGGACTCAGGTTGTTCCAGAAATGCCTGAGCCACCAGAGATTGGGCATTTCTCAGGAAGCACATCCACCAATGGTCTCAGGCTGTCTCAGCCCTCCCACACTGTGGCTGAGGCCGATGGTCTGGGAAAGAACAGGGCTACAAACAGAGACTGTCTGAAAGGGCACATGCTCCACGTTTCCTTTCTAACCCTCCAAACCTAGACAGCTTTTTTCTTAAGATATGTTCTTTTTTTTTTTTTTAAAGATTTTATTTATTTATTTGACAGAGAGAGACACAGTGAGAGAGGAGCACAGGCAGGGGGAGTGGAGGGGTAGAGGCAGGCTTCCTGCCGAGCGGGGAGCCCGATGCGGGGCTCGATCCCAGAACGCTGGGATCATGACCTGAGCTGAAGGCAGGCGCTTCACGACTGAGCCACCCAGGCGCCCCTTAAGATATGTTCTTTAAAAATTTACTACTTCCCACTGAGTAGAAAATTCTAACTGGCAGCTACATTTTCTGTGTGCAAACAAGACTATCTCTGGAAGAAAGAACAAAGCTGAGCCATTAGGAAAGTCCCCAGACTTCTCTCTCACATGGAAAAAAAAAGTATGAGCTTAAACAACTTCACATAAAACACCCTCTTGCACTACCGAACACTGAACTCTTGTTTGCAGCTCTGGGCATCGTCCTCTGTTCAGGGATGTTCATCACTGTAATTACTGTGAACACACTGTTTTATGTTCTGCACTTTTCCTTACTTATTTCTACCAACTTGCTAATTAATCCAATGTCCTAATTAATGGACATTTGGGCTATTTCCAGTTTCCTTCCCAGCAAATCACTAGACCTGCTATGGATGGAAAGTCTGTATCCTCCCCAAATTCATATGTTGAAGCCCTAAGCCCCCGTGTGATGGTATTTGGAGGTGGGGCCTTTGGAGGTAATTACGGTAACATGAAGTCCTGAGAGTGGGGCCCCCAGGAAGGGATTATTGTCCTTATAAGAAGAGGAAGAGAGACCAGAGAGCTCTCTCTCCACCACGTGTGGACACAGCCAGAAGGCAGCTGCCTGCGAGCCAGGAAGCAGGCTCTTACTGGGAACTGAATTGGCTGGCACCTTGATCCTGGACTTACCAACCTCCAGAGCTGTGAGAAATAAATGCCTACTGTTTAAGAGCCCCAGTCTCTGGTATTTTGTTATAGCAGCCCGAGCTGACTGAGACAAGATTCCAAAGTGATATGAACAACTGCCAAATATCTATTTGGCCCTCCGCTAGCTGGCTTCGGTGCTTTTGTTAAGAGAACAGAAAGTGGAGCCATGCTGGCATCATGAAGGTTGGAACAGATGATGGGGGAGGGGACTCACCTGCTCCTAAATCATTCTGTGGCCTCTGTAGGGGGTGGGGGGCACAGGGGCACACCTGTGGTGACGAGGATGGTGAGGGTAGGGGATGCAGCTTGGACCTAACAGCAGGAACCAGGGGGGTGCCTGGGTGGCTCAGTTGGTTAAGCGTCTGCCATTGGCTCAGGTCATGATCTCGGGGTCCTGGGATGGAGTCCCGCATCGGGCTCCCTGCTCAGTGGGGAGTCTGCTTCTCCCTCTCCCTCTGCTGCTCCCCCTGCTTGTGCTCTCTGACAAATGAATACATAAAATCTTAAAAAAAAAAAAGGTGAACCAGGGTCCAGCTGCACAATGAGGGCTGCCAGAGGAGGCTGGGCAGCCCAATCAGACCAATACCACCGGAATGTCTGAAAAACCAAGCCCTTTCCTGAGAAATTCCCCCACTGGGTTTTTTTTTTTTTTTTTCCAATACTGTATTTTTTTTTTAAGTATAATTAATATACAGTGTTATAAAAGTTTCAGGTATACAATATAATGATTCAACAATTCTATACATTTCTCAGTGCTCATCAAGATAAGCGTACTCTCCAACACTGTATTTTGGGAAATTCCAACCTACAGAAAAATCGGAAGAATAAAACAATGAGCACTCATATACCCTTCACCTAGATTCACCAATTGTTAACATTTTACCATCATTCCATTCTCGTGTGTGTGCTTATGTGTGTAACTATTAGAAATGTGACATATTGTCCCTAAATGTTTGGGCATGCATCTTCCCTTTTATTTTATTTCATTTTTTAAAGATTTTATTTATTTATTTGTCAAAGAGAGAGAGAGACCACAAGCAGGGGCAGAGAGAGAAGCAGACTCCCCGCTGAGCAGGGAGCCCAACAACACAGGACTCGATCCCAGGACCCTGGGATCATGACCTGAGCTGAAGGCAGATGCTTAACTGACTAAGCCACCCAGGCATCCCGGGCATGCATCTTCCTAATAACAAGGAAATGTTTCTACATAATCACAACGCCAGCATCACACGCAAGAAACTGAGCATCGATACAATAAAATGATCTAATATTACCATTCCTTTGAAACAACTCCCAGTTATCTGCAAGATGTTCTTTATAGCTCCCCACCCTCACTGCAATCCAGAATCCAATCAAGGATCAGGCATCGCATTTGCCTGTCTTGTCTCTTTAGTCTTTAATCTAGATGAATCTCCCTGCCTGTTCTGTGTTTGGTGTCATTGTCCCTACTCCGTTGCTGAGCAGAGTGAGGACCTGAGTGCCAAGTAGTCCGAGTTCTGGCACAGACGTAACTCTAGTACTATTCGAGTGACCCTTGACCTTCACCTTGACCACTGTTTGGGAATCCTATGACATAGCCTTGCTGGAATCCATACCTGCATATGATAAGAAGCTCGGCCATCCTAGAATTGCAGCCTACACATCAGCACCAAAATGCACTGTTTCTGGCCTTAAAAGGGACCAGCTCTTATTTGTGACATTGTTGGCCCTGATTCTTTGTGAGGGTGCGGCATGCCTGTCATGCTTCCTCGGCTGCCCACCGCTACGCTCACCCCTAGGAGACATGACAAGAAAGAGGTTCTAATAATAGAGCTCTGCCCTCTGCTTGGCCTCCCTGCCCTGGCCGGCTGATCACCCCCCATTTCTTCAGTAGCTGCCCAGTGTCTCAGCCCATCACACTACTTTGCTCCCCATGGGGCTGCTTCCCAGTGACCCAGAGCTGCAGTGGAAGGCTGCTTCACTGGGCTCCAGATCCTTCTCAATAATCAGCTTTGTGAATCAGAGCAGCAGCTGCCCTGGGCCTCCCAGGCCTGGCTGGGCAGAAAGATGATTGGATCAGAAGAAGCGCCATTAGTTAGGCAAGGTGGCTGCTCTGTCGTCCCCCCCGTGTCCCCCCCCTATTTCCCCAGGGTCCTTCTACCGTCTCTCTGGGCTCAGCTCTCTGGTCTCGGGCTCGGCAATATGATAATCAGATATCGGAAATGCGCCATTCCATATCCAGACAATTTCTTAGCAGCTCTTCCAGGGCTAATCCCACCATTGGGAAGGCAGAGTAGTGGGGGACAGCGATATGTGTCCCCCCAGCATCCGACCCCTGGGGCCTGAGGCACAGCCATGATTTACTGTTTGCCAGCTGGAGTTGAGGGGGGCTCAGCAACTCAGCAAGGGTTGGGGATCTGAACCCACAAGGGCAGGGCAAGAGCCCTGAGTGAGGAAACTGACTTAAACGGAACCCTTACGTTGGGATAATCTCGGGACAGGATGTTGCACAGGGAGGACAGACACAAGGCTCAACTCTCAGAGTCATCTAGCAGCTGCCCCGCATGTGAACCCTGTGATGTGCTTTGTCCTCCAAAGCACCCACTCACCCCCACAGGACGAGCGTTTTCCTGACAGAGGCAAATTGTGCTCTGGAGGCTCTTGACCAACAACACCGAACCCACCCCACCAGATCTCGAATTGCTGAGGGCCCACAGGCCTCGTAGGAAGCCCTCTCAGAAGTGCTGTGACCCAGAGGATCAAGACATGACTGAGCACCACGACAGGCGTTGCAAACTTCAGTCTGGAACTTGCTGCCCTGTGTGACCCAGAGGAGCAAGGCTGGCTGAGAGCTAGGGGCAGGCTGAGAATGGCCCGATGTCTCTCCTGTGCCCAGGAGGCTGTGAGTGCAGCCAGAATCCCAAATATGGGAGCCAACCTAACATATCAGCACAGGTCCAAAACCCTTCCTGCCATCATCACCGGTGAGGTTAGCAAGAGCAGCTGGGCCTCCATTAAAGCGAGTCTCTGTCCTCCCCGGGAGGATTACAACAGCCCTCCTCAGGCTGGTGAGAATCTGCTCTCATGACACAATTAGTCACCCACTTGTCAAACAAAGCGCCTGCTCAGAGGGGTCCCCCCCCACTCCCCGTACACCTACTCAGCAAAGAGAAACGCCCTGGCCCAGCCTCACTGCCTTTTCCCCTCAAGGGTTCTCTCCCGTGTAAACCATTGTGCCCAGCAGAATTCAAAAAGGCACTGCAGATACACTGACAAGGCACCCAAGCAGCTTGCTCACGGTTTCGACTGCTCCAGCCATTCTCCCCTGCAGGGAAAGGGGCTCGGGACTAAGAACAAGGCATTCTGATCTGACTCAGGGCCCCGGGTGGTAGCCTGCAGAGGTCAAGGGTGCTGAAATCCTAGCAATGCCTGGCAAGTAGGGTTCCAATGTAAAGAGAATGTAAAGAGAAGCTCTGGAAAAAGTGTATGGGGCTGGTGGGATGGGTGCCCATCTCTCTGGATGTCCTGAAGCAAGGCGTGTGGTCAGGACAGAGCTGATGGACTGCAGGGAGTGGGCTTGAGGCACAAGCAGGAGGGTCAGTTTGGGGGTGCTCAACGGCCCTGTAGGAGGGCTTTATCTTCTCCTCCACTCCATCCAGGCGGGGCTTATCTGCAAGCCCAGGGGAGATGTGCCAAAGCACGTGTACAGTTTGAAAAGGACAATAAAAATGACTGCATTTGTGCAAGGCCTCTTCTTTCCGCCCCGCCCTATGTGCTTCCCACCTCACTGGCTCTGGAATCTGGATTTCACATTGGCTTAACAAGAAAAATCAGCTTTTTTTTTTTTTTTAAAGTATGACCATTTTTTCGTTATCCAGACAACTCTCATTACTGCAGACCTTGAAATAAGCCACATGCACGTGGATCCGGGAACCCGTGGGCCGGAGGGGTGCGGGGCGAGCGGTGGGTGTGACCCGAGCCAGGGGAGGAGGGAGCCGGGGCCGGGAAGTGGACAGCGAGCAGAACACACTGCACAACTCCGACAGGCTCGGCGCTCGCCGACACTTCTGGGGGCCAGGAGGGCGAGTTTGCTCGCGGGCTCTGCGCTCCCGGGGGGCGGGGGGCTGGGGGCCCGGTCCCTGGTCCTGCCCGAGCTGGGGGGAGGGGGAGGCGGGCCCCGGGGTGGGGAGGGGGCGCCCGGGAGGGCCGGGTCCGTACCTGCCTGGCCTCGGCGGCCTGCTCCTCCGCCTCCGCCGGTGCCGCCTCGCGCTCCCCCGGCCCCTCGAGCTCCCCCGGGCCCTCCGGCGCGGCCGCCGGCTCTGGGGCGCAGGGGTCGGGCGGTGCGGGAGTCCCGGGGGCCTTGGCCGGGGACACGGGCTCCGCGCTCGCGGCCGCCCCGCGCCGCACCAGCAGCCAGGCGAGCAGCAGCGCCAGCGCCGTGGCGAGCACCGGCAGCGCGGCCAGCAGCTCGGCCGGCGCCTCCATCGCGCCGCGGCCGCCCGAGTGCCCGCCCGCGGGGACCCCGAGGGAGCCCGCCGCGCCCCGCCCGCGCCCCGCCCCGGGGCGGAGCCCTTGCCCGCGCCCCGCCCCCTCGGGCCCCCGGGGGTGGCTCGGCGGCGGCCGGGGTACCAGGGCCCGGACCCCTGCGGCGGCGCTCCCGAGGCCCGAGGAGGGCCAGCCCCGCCCTGCACCGGGCAGGCCTGACGTTCTGCGCTTCCATTTGCTTTGAAAACCAGCTTGAAAAGCTCCTTCCTCAGGCGCCCTTAGATTGACTGTCATTTTCGGCATCATTTCCGCCCTGTACAGAAGGTCCAGCACTTTGGAACTGCTGGTTGCGAAATGCTGAGGCCCTGTAAGGCCAGGAAGGCTCACCTAAAGCATGGCACCGGACTGCCTGCAAGACCATGAAAAGCAAACGTTAACCCCGCTCACTCTCGGCCACTTCCAGACTCGTCCACAGCATTTTCTGGGAACACTTCTAGTTCCTGGCCGGCGAATGCCCCTTCCGGCCTGAGACCCAGCAGCCTTCAACACAAGCCTCATTGTAACGTGGCTGCCCCGCAAAGGCCGCTTTCTGGAATTCAGCTCCAGGTGCCTTGGGGTAACTCTGCTCCCCTACTGACTTTTCCTCTTGGAGTAATTCTCGAGCGTATGGGAGGGTAGAATGAAGGGAAGTCTACTTTTTTGTTTCTCCAGATCCTTCCTTCTGTTGTGCTTGTTTGCGATAGATATGCTGTAACCAAAAAAAAAATTGTCTTTACCACTCCCAATAAACACAGGGCAAAGTTTGTCAGGCACCAGATGAAAAAACAGGGTGCCAGTTTTTGCTTAGGATACATTTATTGCTTTTTTGGAAATATTACAGTGCCTAAGCTGGTATCTGGTGCAAGCCAAGAAGCTAGATGGAGTGCTGTTTACATGGAAGACACAAGTATGTGCTTAGGCTTCTTCCTGAGCTCCAGTTATGACCAGCAGGCTTCCAGGAAGAGGGGGAGCTTAGTCCTGTTGCTTCCCATAACAGTAAGGGGTACCAGCAAAAGGAATTTCAGTGGTGGTTGCTGAAAAATGCCCTGTAACTATAAAATGTGGAATGGGGCTCCTATCTCAGCTACTGGCTTTTGACCCCTGGGGGGACTTTCAGCCAAAGGGGGCCTTCTTTTTTGTCCCCTGCCTTCATTGTTTGAAAGTATACATTTAAGGGGGCCCACTGTGCAAACTTAGCTACATTCTGTATCCACTATCGGATGAGTAAGGGATGAATAACGAGAAGAAACAAGAATAAAACAATGCAAAAAACCCAACTCTAAATCAAGTTGCTTTATTTAAAATGATAAACAAGTTTCATCCAAGTGGAAGTTAAAAACACTCATCAAACGGCGGAGCCACAGGCATCCCGTGGCGGAGCCCACGGCGAGACGAAAGCAGATGGAGCAGGCTGCTGGGTGTCTCTGTGGCAGTGGCAGGAGGAACAAGGACTCTGCACGGTCCCAGTTCTTCTGCACTGTCCAGTCACCTTGGAGACAGCAGACCGGGCCAGTTCTCATGGGACATTCGGGGGGGGCTAGACATCTCAAGTTTTTGAACTAATGATGAGACCGAAGTTGAGAGCCACCACCCGAGGGGGCCGGGGCACGAGGGTCATCTAGTTTTGCTGTATATAATATAACATCAGTGGAACATATGGACAGAAGGCAGGGAGGGACGGGGGAGTATGAGGAGAAACCAGACTCCACAGGGAACCATCAGCAGCACCCAGCACACACATGACAAACAACTTACTTGTGGAAACGCTACACTCAATTCAAGGACCCTACAGCTGTGCACGTACACGCCTACATCCTAGAGAGCACTTTTTACAACATTTACCACAAAACTCCTATTCTGTCCCACACTCTTGTCTAAAGTCCTAAATCATATCCAGGCTGAACCTCTAATAAGTTCATAAAGCACTGATACCAACAACTTTCTTGCCGATCTTTAAATATCTTTAGCCAATTTAGACAGAAACCAAATACTAAGAACCCAACTATGATGTTATTTATGTTCTTTTATGAAGATCTCATGGACTCGAGTTTAGTAAGGTCTGACCTTGCTGTTTTGGTCATGGAAATGGATGTGCTTGACTCCACCTCCTCTGACGAGTGACCCTTAGGAACCGTGCATGGTGCGCTGTCTTTCAGCTCCGCGAGAGGGACCTGGGCTCGTCACTGCTGCATCTCCAGCACCTAGAACAGTGCCTGGCACTCAAACACAAGCTGAACGCTTGGAAGATTCACAAATGGGCATCTGCAAGCCTAAGCCAAATGTGAACGTCCCTGTGTTTGGTGGCTCTCCCCTCAAAAGGTGTCACCCTGAATATCCCAGCACTACTAATGACCCCAGAGACACCTGCCTGTGTGCAGCACTGGATACTTCAGGCTGATGGTAAAGTCTTTGGTGCTCACTCCCAAAGCCCCAGAGCCCCACGCTATCTTCCTCCACCCTGCTCCTCCCTATCAGTAGTTACTGGTCCAAGAGCCCTTCTTCCAGGACCCAGCTTGTTGGTCTTCAGTTGGAGAAGTTTCATGTCATGTCCTTGCCCTCCTCAGAGAAGGAGCTCAGACCAGGTGGGGTGAAGGGTTAACTTTAGAACAGATGGCCCCTGGTTCCCACTTCCTACCTTGTCCCAAGCACCCAGCCATCACTGCACTCCCTTCTCACAGGTTCCCCACCTCATCCCTGCTTTATTTCCGTAATGGTGTGCTTGGTTGGCCCACGGCAACAGGAACAGGGGCGGGGTGGGAGGTGTTGAATCTCTGGCCTGCCTAAAACAAAGACTGTCCCATGGTCACTCACTCATGGGGTGGCAAAAGCCAAACCGCAGCATATAAGCTGTGATCCAGATGCTTTCTGGTGGGGTGACTGTGGGCCTGTCAGGTGGGCTGGATCCCTTATTTCTGAATATTGTTTGTCAAACAGGAATCACCTTTGGCCTCTTGAGAAGGCTAATCTCTCCCATTCAACCTTCCTTCTACCCTGTCATCCCAGCCACTGCAAAAGTGTCCTATCCTGCCCCCTCGTGGCAAGCAGCCTTTTGGTTTTGTTTGTTTTTTCAAGTTTAGAGGGAAGTTGATATGAATTGCAGAGGACGGTGTGAGCCTGGCAGCAATATGGCGTAAAGAAAAAAAGCACTTTGGAAGATGGCAAGAACATTGTAAAAAGGAGACAGGAACCCCACTCAGGTGTGAACACAAAGAGACGACACATTCAGGGTCTGTCTTTACTCACACCCAAACACACCCTGGAATGGAAGCAGGGCTGCCTGAGCCCGGGTGGCCTGGTGGGGAAGGGGAGCGGCACTGAGGGACAGGTGACAGGCGCCAACGCCGAGGAACATGGTGGAGGTTCTCCATCCAATCCGGCCACGTTTTTGGATCGGCATTTGAGAATGCAGAAAACTGACCAAGACAAGGTAGGGAACCAGCCTCCTAGAGGAAAGAAAGCCACATGACCGGCCCAGTGTCAAGAAATGATCATCAGTCTGATAAAAATATAACCTTTGCACAGAGGAGCCCTGGACTCCCCAGATTATACCCATGTTCAGGGAGGATCTGGGGAGGCAACACCACATAATTCCAGGCCGTCTGCTCCCCGGGGACTCCTGCTGCCCTCTGACTGCTCATGCCCTTACCTACACCCCCGCCCAGAACGGGGCACGCTGCTCAGTGCTTTTCACTGGACAGATCCTTGACAAGCCCCCTCTTACTTTTATTTAAATTTAGCTGAATTTAGGGACAGATTAAGGCAAGCAGGTGAACTGAGAGGGCAAGAGATGGAACCTGCTGGTCAATCCCCAAGGATTCAGACCAGAGTTACGGAGAAGCCTAAACAGATCCCAAAGACTAGAAGCACCATATATGGATTTATTCCAGACGTGCAGCACAAGCCACCCACCTAATGTCTGCTGGTCAAACAAACAGGGACACTACTCGTGACGTCTCTTACAGAGTGAGAGCTTCTGCCTTATGGATCACATGGTAGGAAGAGGCCACACCAGTTAGAAGTGGGCCCTATTCACAACTTGAATTCTGCGATAAGAACACATTGAACACCTTTCCCACTCCGTTCCTAAACAAAAACCCTGACATGTCATCCCACCCCCAAAATACACCACACGAAAACACTGCCGGAATTTAAGAGCCTCTCTGGCGGTGGAGGGAAGGTAACTCGTCCAAAACCAGTGGTGAGCGGTGCTGCCCACGTTGGCTGGGTCACGACCACGGAGTGCGGCTTTGGACAAACGGTGACACAAAGGAAGGTGGCGTGTGCGCAGCACGTTTTATGTGTAATTGGCTCAGACACAAATCCGAGTCCACTCACCCCTCAGGGCCTGCTTGTGCGCAGCCGGCTCTCGGACAGTAGAGGTTCCTCACCAATGTTGCTGAGGTATCAGACGCAGCGAGACACTCAAGGGATCCCAGCCCTGCGGCCTCGAGGTTGAGCAGCGTGGCTTAGAGGTGACAGCCAGAGCTCCTCACCCAACAGCACGCCAGCCTTCGGTGTTTCGGGTGTCACTGAGCTTGCTGAGCTTCGAAACCTCTTGACCATCTATTCTTAGTAAGCAGTAAAAACGGCATTTGACCGAAGACAGAAGCTTGGACCAGAGAAGGTTATCCAAATTCAAAGAAGACAAAGGAGAAGGTGGGAGCAGAAGACGTGAAAACTGAGTCAGGTGGCGGCCAACAGCGTACACAGGAGCCACCTCAGGGAGAGTGTCTTTATTTGCTCAGGGGTGAGCCCGGCCTCCACAAGTGTCCCTAATCCTGCCAAGGAAAGTACAACTGCCTGTAATCAGCATGTAGACAGCACAGCTGGTGCGAAGCTGGAAGGAAATGTTAAGCAGAACCCCAGGACCCCACATGCAATTCAGGGCAGGGCTGTCCCTAGAACTTTTTCTGACAAATTATAAAGTCACACATCACGGGCAGGTGGGAGTCTCCAGCAACAGAAACACCTTAGAAAAGCAAGAAGAGAAATCTAACAATGGCTGTGAAGAGGATGACTTGGTTGAGAAATGCATAGTCTAGTCCCATAAATTCGTGTCACTGGGACACCTGAACTTCTCCTGGAATTCCAGTCTGACTACAGAGAAAGGAAAACAGACAGCAAGGCTTGTGGGTCCTACACTTTCCTAACATGTGTCAAGAAAACAGCCAGCTGCTCAGAGATACAAAGAACACAACAGCATCGTCACCCACAGCAGGCCAGGCCCTCAGACGTTTATAGAGTCCTCCGAGCTTCTGTACTGAACTACCTCCCTGAAAGCTCCCCGAAAGCTCCCCGCTTACTGCCGCCGCCAGACACACTGCGACTCGCTCGTGAGAAGAGTCTGGGTCCAAAACTCACTGAAAGCCCATTCCGTGTCCACCACGAGGGCACACGCTGGCAAAGAGATTACCTTACTGACTCTGATTTTAAGTTTTAACTTATTTAGACCCAATCTGGTTCAAACAAACAAACAAACAAACAAGCAAACAAACGTGGGAGACGTGATGAAGACCTTATAGAAAATTGGAGTTCTTCACGGATGTCTCACTTGGTGTGAGCGCTCAAAGCAACAATGGCAAGTGGGGGGAAAAGCAGGAGGCCGGCCCTGAGGCTCTCGGGAGACACCAGGGACCTTCTCTTGGGCCCTCAACTGCTGTAACCATCCCTTCCCCATCGAGAGCACACAGCAGTGGGGTGACTGCTTTCCCACAACACCACAGGAAGAGCAACAAGGGGAGGTTCTGGTATTCTCAAAGGATAAAAGTTGCAAGGATATAAAATGGATTTAGTTTTTATTAAATAATATTAAGGGTTTCCTTGGCACCATCCACACAGATTCTTGCCTTTATGCATAAAATGAGCCACATTACTTTGCACTGATAGCGGAGCAAAAAGCTACTGTAGCAAATGCTAAGTGAACGGACTCCTATTCCAAGGGCGTCCTCGTTCTCTGGCTTTCTCCGGCCCTCCCTTTGTCTGCAGATCCAAAAGGCTGCCCTCCCCAGGGCCCTGCCCCTCGCCGTGGGCATGTCCTCCTACACAGACAACAGCCGTGCGTGGTCACCTGGAGGAGCTGCGCTCTTTGCTCACACAGTCGTCCTGGGAGGTGGTGTCTCCATTTCCCATCATGCTGCACGTTCTCCGCTTCTTCCGGCGGTGCATCGTCCCATCGCCTTCAGACCCAGACTCACACTGGACGGAGGAGGAAAAAAAAACAGGAACTCACCGAGATGCAACCCATTCTGTCTGTAAATAAACTTCCGACCCCAGGAGACGGCACAAATGTCATCTGCGTTCTCCCAGAAGTGAAGCAGCCATTTGCCGCCACGCCCCAACATGGTCTGAATGGCCGTCTCCCTCCAGTGTTTCTGCCTCCCAAACACTGCAACTTCCCTCGCATGCCGGCTGCCCCTCCAGTGTTCTCCAACGGGAGGGTTATTTGTTCAAAATCGGGACACACGCTCTAAGAATATCTTTCAGTCAGATTCTGAGATTGCATTATGCTATTTCACTGCGTCCACACAGACCCCGAGGAGGGAAGCACAGAAGTATAGCACTTAACACACCACTCCCCCGCCCTTGCCCCCTGCAAAACACCAAATCCCCAGATTATGCAAAGCACTAAAACAGAAATTTCATCTGCTGAGGGCCCAGGTGCCTCTTCCCCAAAATGACATTAGCTTCTAACAAACCACTGAATTTGCCGAGTTTCCAGGCTTACAATTTACATCCACAGGGATAATTCTCAACATGGGCTTTGAGGTGACAATGCTCTAAGTCTGAAACCCCATCATGAGCTGTGTGATCCTCGGCCATTCCCTTAACAAAATCCCCAAATACTCCTTTTACCTCTTGAAGTTACTGCAACGACATGCGCACGCACCCACCCCCACACACACGTGCAAGGCTGTAACGTGGGCAAAATTCACCACCCAGCAGGAATGGTGGCAGCTGTAGTTCTTGGAACAAAGTGGACCACGTTCTCATCTCTCTCCCTCCCAGACAGGAGAGGGGAGAGTCACATCTGGTGTTTCCGGGGTGACCTGCCCCGAGGGCCTAGGGAGGGAGCAAGGCCTCACCTCCGAGTCCGAGTCGGATGAGCTGGAGCTGGAGGAGCTGGAGGAGTCACTGGAGCTGTCCGAGGCAATCCCTGTGGACTCCTGAAGGTCAACGGAGTCAGCCAGGACCGCCAACTCGGGGTGCTCTTGCTTCAAGATCCTGAGAGACAAGAAACATTGTTCCCAGCGCTGGGACCGGCAGCAACACCTGCACACAATCACCCGGACTCAAAGCTGAGGCCTGTCTCTCTCAGAAGCACCTGGGAAGTCAGGTGCCTTGGCTCAGAATGGGTGCTGGACAGTGGTGAGGACACACGGATCCACAGGCTGGGAACAAAAGCCCTACCATGCTGCTCAGGCTTTTCTGAAAGACAACCTAGCTGCACGCAAGTTACTATGACCTTTGCAAAGGAGCCAGCCGTGCTGCTGACCTGTGAGGCAAAGTTGCCCCGAATTAGTCTTTTTTTTTTTTTTTTCCCACCTGGGAGAAAGAGTCTCTGTTCCTTGTGTTTTTTCCTGAACCATTCCTAGCTCATTTTTTTAAACCCTTCCTTTCCACAACACAGCACTGAGTGACCGCAGTTGCGCTTGGTTAAATTCTATTTGTACGAGTAGCGACAATTAGGTTTGCAAGAAATAAGAAGTGTCAAGCAACAGAAAGGGTTCCCCTCACTTGAAGATAAAACTGAACTGGACTTTCAGAGGCAGCAGCCCTCCCCTTAGGGACCTGATCTGGCATCCACTCTAACCAGGGACAAAAGACCAGCTGTATGGTAAGGCCTTTAAGATGACCAAATCACAGCACACAGTGGCCTATGGGACGGAGTAAGTGGGCCTCAGGTGCCCGTGAGTCCGGGAAGAACAAAGCCACCACCCTTGCTGGCCCTCTCAGCAGGGAGGCTGAGCACTGACCAAGCCAGGATCCCTCTCTTACCCCGAGAGCTGGTCCCTCCAGGTCAGGGTTGGGACACAGTGGCACGGGGTGGCTGGGGGTGGCTTGCACTGCCGCTGCCCGTGCTGTATCTGTTCTGTGGATAAACAGAGGAGCTAAGTCTCCAGGGCAGTCACCTCACTCACAAGAACTGAAGGTATTAAGTTCAAAAGGGAATAATGCTTCTCAGTAAGAAAAAGAAAGAACCAAAATAAAACCCAAACAAAATGGCTTCCTTTGCTAGTGCTAGCTTGGGGGGGACGTAAACAAAAACAGAAAATAAAACAAAACAAATAAACAGAAAATGAGAACCAATCCCAATTATGACCATGTTTTGACTGACTGATCAAACATGCAGAGTCTTACCCTGTCACCTGGAGGCTGGCAAGCATCCTGAGAACTAGCCCTGACCTTGGACCCACTCTCCTCTGCCTGGGCGGTTTTGCAGCCCCAGCTCTCCCAGGCCTAAGATCAGCACACGTTACTGCAGCAGTGGACTCTTTCCATTTCACCTCTGGGGTAGGAATTGGAACAAGACAAAGATAAGAAAAAAAAATGTCTCTCACCTATACCATTTCCTCGATAACTTTGGTCTCCCTCTTACCGTCTTGTGCCATACAACAGGGAAGTTGGTGCTGCTGGCAAAATTCTGGGTGATGGCAATGGTGGTGTCGAGATTAAGGACAACGTGCCACCAGCCTCCTGAAATCCAACAAATACACAGTTAAATAAATAGGGTTTGGTTCTGCACAATCACAAACAACATAAGCCTCATGAATACAGAGTTCCTATCCACCCATCTATAGGTGAGACAGGTAGAGACTCGGAGACATGAGATCGAGACTGGTCAATGCTTCTCCTGATCCAGGAATCCCAACCTATTTGTGGAAAGTTCTACTGGAGCACAGCCATGTCCGTTCATTTCCGGATTGTCTGTGGCTGTTTTCCTGCTCCATAGGCACAGTTGAGCAGTTGGAACAGACCCTGTCTGGCCCACAGCGCTTGAAATATTTACTCTTTGCCTTTTAGAGAAAAAGTGTGTTGACCCCTGTTAATCCAAAACTGCTCAAAACTGTAAAGGCAGCAAGTTCTTCAGCTCCTAGAAGAAGAACACCTATCTTCAATATTAAATACCCTCACTCTAAACACTTAGCCTATCAGGTATGGGACGTCCTTCCTCTTAGCCCCAAGTTCCTATTTCCTGGCTCAACCCGGCCAATGCTACACTATATTAAAAACCCAATTTACAGAAATATGCACAAGTTACAGTATGTCCACAGAGACACCAGATAACTACTAGGCATAAAGATGAATAGAATCTTTACAGACAAGAAGTTTATCAATAGGCACTATGTGTTTAGATTACAAGAGATGTGGAGAGCAGCCCCCTAAGCACTTGAGCACACAGCCGCACATCACTGTCTAAGGTGGGAAGCAGTCAGTTCGTTTAGAGTCAGCATGCAAACAGGTTTCTTTGATTCCTTCTATATACACTTATGCTCCGAAATGACAAATAACTGAAATCAAAGAATGTACTTTCTCTTAGTTCATCTATACCTGGTACAAAAACAGTCTCTCCTGGTTTTTGTAAGATTTCCAGGGGTTTGAATTCAGGTGGCCAGGTGGGAAGCTGCGTCCGGGGATGAATGATACTAAACCAGGTAATAGCTTCATCTTGCTGGTTCCCTCCTTCTTCACGGGTCACCTTGATGAGTTCCCTGGGCGTGCTGGTAGGAAACAGGCACCAGCGCTTGTGGCCCTGAACTAAGGCATTCCAGGCACTGGTTCCCAGAGGGTCGATGTGAATTCCAGTTCCAGAGCGTGGTGGCCCCATCACAAACCACCTAAAGGATGGAAACGTCCAAGATATGAAAAGTAATTTAACTGTACACACACGCCACCAAATAGTGAGTTTTTAGTCTTATACATTATGTTCTTTATTTCAGAGACTACATAAATCCTGCTATGCAGAAACGCTAAATGAATCATGCCTGGAATGCTCCATAACAGAAAGAAGAAAAAAAAAAATCACTCATGTGGGTTACTACTACCAGGCTTCAACTATTAAAACTTCCTTTAAAGATCAGTGGTTTAACTTTGGTTGCGTGTTTGAGTCACCTGGGGCGCCTTCAGAAATCCTGGTGCCCAGGTGACAACCCAGACCAGTAAAACCCATCTGTGGCCGTAGGACCTGGGCAGGCAGCAGTAACCCCCTAAGTAAGTTCCATGTGCAACTAAGGAGAACCACTCACTGTTATGGAAAAAGGTTAGCCGACTGAGCTCAGGTGACACATACTGTCCTACGTTAGACCATAAGGGCTTCACGGCCAGGTACTTTACCTGTAAGGGGGCCTGCGTTTCTCCCCGGCATACTGGAAGAGATCATCAGTGAAAAACTTGGGCACCTTGTAGTCTTCCAAAAGTTTCCTTCTTTTGGGGTGTTCCCCATAGCTGCTGTCAAAGATGTAAAGGGGGCTGTCGTCCCGAGTGCTCTCCATGTACTCAATGTAGTATTTCATCTTCATCTTCACGGAGTAGCCGTCATTATCCTCACCACACTTGAATTTCTGGTTCCGGTACTTCCTTTTTAGGCGCTCCAGGGTCCATTTCTCCTGGGCAGACCAACCCTCTTGGGCATTCAGCAGAACCACGGGCTTGTACGGTCTTTCATATCGCTCCACAAATTCTTCCACAGACAGCTGTAATGCGTCTGCCCTTTCCACGTTATCCTGGAAGAATCAGAAAAGACCTATCCAGTTAATTAAAAAAAAAAAAAAAAAAAAAAGTCCAGCGGCAGCAAAAGGCGTCCCCCAGGACCCGTTAAGGACATACCTTAGGACAAACCTAAGGAACCATATTCTCGTTCTGGCTTATCTTTGGGGGGTGGGGGGGAGAGGGACAAGGACCTGCGTGTGGACTGACACGTCGCACCCTGCGCCGCCCCACCAGGGGAAGGGGGCTTCGCATCTCCCACTGATGGGCCTCCACAGTCAAGGCCCCGGGGGCCCCACAGCGCAAAGGGGTCAAGGGGCCACAGTCCTCCTCGTGGATATCGCCAAAGGCGTCAGCCTCCAGGTGGCCGGGCAGGCGGCAGCTGCGGCGCGGGAGGAAGGAGGCCCGCCCCGAAATCCGGGCACCGATGACCCGGACCTCCGCGGGGGGCGAGTGAGCCCATCGGAACTCAGAGGTGCCGCGCTGGGCGCTGGGGGAGGTGCGCATGAGCCCGGAGATGCCCAGGCCCGGCCCCAGCCCGCGACCCCGGCCCACTCACCGCCACGGCCGCAGGGTTCAGCGAGAAGCTCTCGTAGTAGTTGTGACGGGTCCAGTCCAGCGAGTCCTTGAGCTCCGGCCGCGCACTCCGCTTGGCCTCGCGGATCCGCTTCTTGCTCTTGTGGTTCATCCTCCGGGGGTCACCAGCTGCTCCCGCGACGACCTCCGCGCGCCTCGCTTCCTGCTTCCCACGCACCCCCTCCCCGGCCCGGGCAGTGGCTGCGGCGGTGGAGGCGGCGGCGGCGGCGGCTCCCTAAAGCCCTTCGCTCTGGCCCGGCGCCTTTAAACTCGCCTTCCAGAAAATTCACTCCCCAACCACCTCCCGGGCCTCGGGTTGGGCACGCGGCTGCCGTCTTCCCCGCCCCCCGGCCTGTCGCGGTGAGCCATTGGCTCGGGCACCTCCGGGGTCCGCCCTCACACTCGCCGGCTCTCCGCCATGTTGGGAAGGTCGAGATGATCGAGGAGCCGCCTGACTACGGCTCCGCCTCTCCCGCGCCCGCTTCCGGTGCGCGCGTCACTTCCGGGCGTGGGCCGCTTTATGCGCGGCCCGCTTCCGGCGTGCGAGTCTCCGAGGCCGCTTGTCTTCCGTGTCCCTTTTCCCTGGTCCCCGGTGTCTTCTCCCTGCGCGGCCACAGCGTCGCCGGAAGGGTGCTTTCCCCGCCCTTGCGTCGAGTTGCAGCGCCCCGGCAGGGCCGCCAAGGGCCACGTGGCGCCGGTGAGGCGGCCCCAGCCGGCCAGGGGTTTCCCGCGCGCGCAGCCTGGCAGCCCGGCGCTCTTCGCTGCTCCCGGCCCGTCCGGGGGTCCCCGGTTGCCCCCTGGGCAAGCGTGGCCTCCGAGGGCATGAGGTCCGGGCCCAGCGCTTTCGGTTCTTGGAGGAGCCTGGCCTGGGGGCCGAGGGGGCCGTACTGGAGGTCAGCGTCCCGCAGGTGCGTGCGGCGGGAGGTGCCTCCGGTACTTTGCGGTGGCGCCCCGGGCAGGAGCCGCTCGCAGCCGACCTGGGGGTGTTGGGAGGGGTGGGGGCGGGGTTTGGCGGCTACCCTGTCTTAGGTTGGCCCTCCGGGCGGCAAGGTTTGTGGCCTGAAGGGGCCCTGCCAGGAAAAGGGCCTTCCACATCGAATATATCCTGCCGGAAAGGTGGCATTTTTTTTTTTTTAAGATTTTATTTATTTATTTGACAGAGAGAGACAAAGCGAGAGAGGGAATACAAGCAGGTGGAATAGGAGAGGGAGAAGCAGGCTTCCCGCGGAGCAGGGAGCCCGATGCGGGGCTCGATCCCAGGACCCTGGGATCATGACCTGAGCCGAAGGCAGACGCTTAACGACGGAGCCACCCAGGTGTCCCGGAAAGGTGGCATTTTTAACACCAAATATTTTCTTTGATTTTGAAGGGCTGCTTAATTCAGCTTCATCCAGGACCGGGGATTCCACTCTCCCTTTTCAAATAAAGTTTCTTGGGTTGGCACTCATTTGTTCTTTCCAGCTCACGGCTGTCCCCAAACTCTCACAAATAATAGAAGTAATACGTTATGCGTCCGGTTTTTCAAAGCACTTGGACGTTGCAGCGTTTCGATTTTAACAGCAGTCTGTGAGGTAGGTATTAGCAAAAATAATTTGAAGATGAAAAACCGCCTAAGAGGAAGTTAAGTCTCCAGTGAAACCCATTTCTGATAGTTTTTAAATGCCTTCGTGTTGAAATACCCACTGGGACTTCTTCCCAAGTTTAGGAGGTGAAGATACTCCCTGTGAGAACAAAGACCCCTTTACAGCCAAATCTGCAAACTCACTCACTGCTCTGGTCAGAAATCCTTTATTGTATCCTGGGTAAAATGCACCAGGCAGGCATTTTATTCACGCTGCACTCCCTACACTTAGAACCAGTGCCTAGGCACTAATACTTTTGTTGAGTGAATTGAATGATTGAGTTCAGACTTTTCAGTTCCTTCACCTCTGATACTTACACCGCTTCAGCCCCCTTTCCAACCAGTCCACTAGCAGCACCTTCTGCTCTAGAAAACAGAAGGACTTGCAGTTTTGCAGTTTAATGACAGCTTGCTTTGCTTATTTTGTGTCGGGCGTTGTACTAAGCAGTTTGCATTGAGTCTTCCAAGTCACCCTATGAGATAGGCTTTTTGCAGGTGAGGAAACTGAAGCACAGACAGGTTAAATAATGGGTGAGGTCACACAGCTAGTAAGTTACACAGCCAGCATTTGAACTCAGGCAGGTTCATTCCAAAGGTGTGAGTCCTTATTTTGCCTCCCTGAATACTGTGCTCTCACAATTCTGTATCTTTCCAAAGGCTCTCTAAGCTGCCTGCCTTCCTAATTCCAGGACTGAGCTGCACTCAAACTTCTGGAATGTCTTCCTGGACTCATTGATTCCCATAAGCATACCAAGTTATGCCTGTGAATATAACCCTCTGATACATTCTTAACTGCACTTACAATAAAAGCTAAGCTTCCTGTGGCCTACAAGACCCCACAGGTCTGTCCCTGCCTTCCCACTGACCTCTGTACTACAACCCTGCCTCCCAGCCCCCATGCCCCTGCGGTCAGTGCCCTCTGTGGTCCAGCCAGAGGCTTTTTAGTTCCTGCTTCAGGACTCTTGCCTGAATCATTCGCCCTATCTAGGACAGCCACCTTGTGGTCACTGTCTCCCCACGTGTCCCTGCCCCCACTACTCTCACATCACCTGCTGTTGTTAGCATTATCACCAACTAAAAATATATTTGCTTACTTGTGGCTTGTCTTTTTCCCAGTAGGGCATGTATGTGTGTGTGTATGTGTATTCCATGATAACCTAGTTACATCCTTAGCCATTCAGTCCCTGGGTAAATGCTTGTTGAGTGCAGGAGTGTATGAAGAGTGCTTATCACACGGTACTGCAGTTTTATATACCCCATGGGTTTTGAACCGGACAGCAGAGAACTGTCCTTTTTGTCCAGTGTCGGGCACTCTAATTGCTGTAAAAATATATACTCCCAACTGCCAGCAGATGAGTTATTTTTGGCATACAAAAAATTCTTTTCAGGTGCTGCATCTGCAGTATGGAATGTATGTTTGGCCCTGTGCGGTGGTCCTGGCTCAGTACCTGTGGTTTCACAGAAGATCTCTGCCGGGCAAGGCTGTCTTAGAGGTACAAGTGCCCTTGAGGTTTCCTAAAATGCTCTGTTCAGATTTAAGTCTACGTGCTTGTTACTGACTTTTGTTAAATATTTTTAAATCGGGTGATTTGGCCAGCTTGTAAGTCATGTGAGCTAAGAATGCTTTTTACATTTTAAGTTGTTTAAAAAAAGAACACGCACCAGAGACCACAGGAGTCCCATCGAGACTAAAATATCGCCTTGCCCTTTATGTTATGCTGACCCTTATTCTAAGTGAAGCCCATTGACTAATTATAGTTATAGAATCTTGGCATGGAAGCAATCATTAAGACCATCTTTCCAGGGTGTCCCAACAGGGTCATCCGGAGTCTAGTGTGTCACATGCAGTTTCTCATACAATAGCCCTTTCCATATTTTGGAAATCTTGAGAGTATCCCAAACTCTTTCTCATCACTCCACCTGACATGAGACTGCTAAACACTTGGAGAAATAAACTTTTTGTCAAGTTTGCAGAAATGGTACAAGGCTTAAATCTGAAGGCCGAGGACAAACCCAAAACTTAAAGTAATACCTCTTTAACTTTTGCAAAACCACGTGAGGGGTGTGAAGATATGTGGCATCCTTCTGGCCCTGAACAGTGGCAATTTGTAGACATTCAGAAAAGATTGAGAACCTCCCAAGCTCTTGCTCAGAACTGGAAAATGGGAAACTTGTTTTAAAATTCAAGGCATTCCTTGGTTAGTCCTTAGCATGCTTAAGACCTTGTCACTTCGAAGGCCCAACTGGAAAATCCCCTTTGTAGGAAGCCATGTTTCAGACCTGTCAGGTTATAGCCACATAAAAGCAGTAAAAATTGGTAGTAACAGCCATAATGGCCAGGTGTGCAGGCAAGTCACCCATCAAGCTTCTAGAGGCCCAATGTCCTGTATAATTAGGAGCTCCCTTATAGACTGTTAAGAACAGTGTCCCAAACTGCCTTGGGCATATTAAGCAATTAAGTCGCCGGATACACACTCAGGAGTTTGGAAGCACCTAAGTCAGTTGCAGAGTACAGGGCCCTGTACGGAACTTAACCTTCCCACCCAATTAAGAGGAATCTCAAGTAATTTCTACAAATTGAAGAGCTTAAGCTTCATATAGTAAAGCACTGCAATTGTGGCACATTTTGTAGATATGAGCAGCTCATGACGGACTCTGTACTTAGGGAAACTTAAGTTCCCAAATTCCCTGCAATCCTAAGAACTTTGAAATGCTTTTAGATTGGAGCTGGAGTGAGCCTTCCAGGAATTACGGCTGCAAAATGCGGTGCTGAAGTGATCTTGTCGGACAGTTCAGAGCTGCCTTACTGTCTAGAAATCTGTCGGAAAAGCTGTGAAATGAATAACCTGCCACAGGTGCGTGTCGTAGGACTGACATGGGGACATGTATCTCAGGATCTTCTGGCTCTACCACCACAAGATATTATTCTTGCATCTGATGTGTTCTTTGAACCAGAAGGTAAAACTTTTTTGGTCAATAGTAACTTTCGCTGGAGAGATGATATAAGTACAAGTCCATTTAAGGAGTCCTTTCTTCCCAGATTTTGAAGACATCTTAACTACAGTCTACTTTTTGATGGAAAAAAACCCCAAAGTCCAATTGTGGTCCACCTACCAGGTAAGAAGGTAAGCCTGAATAAACCTGGTCTACTCTCAGTTTTATTAAAACTTAAATCCCAATCCTCATGCAATATCTACTTTAAGGATAAAATGAAAATATATGTGAAGCAAAACAGGAAAAGCATGATTTTAAAAAAACAATTTATTATTTTTTTTTTCAGTGCTGACTGGTCACTTGAAGCTTTGCTCTACAAGTGGGATATGAAATGTGTCCACATTCCTCTGGAGTCTTTTGATGCAGACAAAGAAGATATAGCAGAATCTGCCCTCCCAGGAAGACATACTGTTGAAATGCTGGTCATCTCCTTTGCAAAGGACAGTCTCTGAATTACACCTACATACAGGTTCTTCTGGGACAATGTCAATACTAATTAGCAACCTGGCATGCCAACTAAGACTCAGACCACTTCAGCTTCTTGGGAGTACAAGCACTGAATCTGAAGATGGTCTGATCTGTTGGCCTTAAAGATGGTGGTGGGTCACCTAAACACTCATGGGTTACAAAGCCATGAAAACAAAAATTAACAGACCTGTAAAAAAAGGGACTTGGATTGTTCTTTAGAAAAAAAATAAAAAACGGCATAAATTAAGCTGAGAGACGGGGGTACCCAGAACCTCAAGAAAGTGCTACCTTAGAGCATTGATTTTAGGGGTTATGGGTGCTGAAATGGCATTTCCACTTTTTAACTTAGAAAAAAGTCAACTACTAAACATTTCACTTTCATACTGTACAGTCAGTAACAATTCACAAGGTAATTGCACAGGTCTTTCAAATAAAGGGGGGAAAAAAGACCAAGACATATTCTGAGAAAAGCTAACACCAAGAAAACGTTTTAATTAAACTACAGAAACAATGGTTATAGTACAGAATTTTCATGAGCAAAAAGATACACCATGTTATAAGTACTTACAAAGTTACAAACCATTTTGCTTCCTTAACATTTTCCATATTTTAAGTTCATACATGAAGATGATCAGATATACCATTTTGGGGGAAGGGGGGAAAAAAAGGTGTATTTATCATCAGCTAGATGTGCTCACTGTATGCTCCGTTATTTATATGCAAGGCCCGGGTGACTGGAAGTGCAGTTGTCAGGCATTTTAATAAACTGGACAGCCATTTGTTTCTGCACGACAAGGCATCTTTACACAGGAGCAATCAGGAGAAAACAGGAAACAGCCAAGCACTCTGCACTGCAACACGCCACCTTAACAGCTAACCAGCATTACTCAACTGCTACACAACTGCGCCTAGTGCACAAAAATACACAAGAGAAGAGATTAGAATTGTGTTTGGTAAACAATCCTTTTCAAAAAATCAAGTCTTTTCACCTGAAAAGTCTTTATACAAATTTGGATTCAGATTACCACTTAGATCTGAAGGTAAATAGCATATACAAACAAATTTACACCGACTTTTGTAGGTTTTTAATTTTAAGGAATGAAGGCAATGTTGAGTCAATCTCTTGACAGCTTTAGGCTGTGTGTAATGGCTGCACACGTTTCCTTAAAAGTCAGGAGGCCACAAATTAGGTTACCAATCTGTTTAATTTCAAACAAAAAAAGTCAGCACTATATAAACAAAAAGGAAAATTTACCTCAAATATCCAAGCCAATAATGAAATCTGAAGTCGTTCACCTCACTAAATTACAAGAAATTTGAATAACAGCAACAAAATGGCACATAAAATGAAATTTGCCACCTGAGGCAAAGCTTAAAACAAGTAAAAAGTTAGACAAATGTTACAAAATAACCTTTTCAATAGCCAGTTGCTTGTTCCAAGGACTCTTCGATGGACTGAGTGTGTGGTCCTTTTCCCCCAAGTCTTCTGTTATGTTGCTTGTTGACCCATCTAGGTTTGAAAAGAAAAAAGTTCAGTTTACCTTCCATTACAATGAAGTTACCGAAAGTGCACATGGTTTCAGTTTCAGGCATGTACTTACTAAGGCTCTGGTGAAACAAGGAGGTTACGGAAAGGTTCCACCCAGCCATTATCAGTTTTATAAAGGCCCAATTAGGAAATTTTCACAGAGGCTACCATCCGCTTTTACAAATTTGTGTTTATGCAATCTTGGCCAAATAACCAAGGTGAAAAATGATATGAGGAAGGGAAAAAGGGGCGGGGAGGGGAAAAGGACGGTATCCAAACAAAAACAACTTGAAATCAGAAAATCAGTCTATTTTAAGATAAATTTTTAGTTCTCAAACGAAACATTTGGCAATTGAGAATAAAGCTTTAATATCTGAGCTACTTAGGGCCCTTTCCTTTTAAAAAATAGGACCAAACAATTTGAGAGTTAAAGACACACTATCCTTTCCCCACCCAGTGCAATACCTGTAAACTTTTTTGGGGTTCCAAAAGTTCATTGCTTCTTTTTGCAATTCGTTTGCCACATCCGTTAGAATATGAAGTCCCAGTCAGTACAACAATAGTTGAACTGATCGTTTTCTCTAAGAGGATAGTGCATCTTTAACGTTTAAAGACAAACCTGCTCCAATACACGCCCACAGAAACTGGTCCCTGGAGGATCAGCCAAATCAGTTAAAATCTGCAATACTGGCCAATATTCTTTTATCAAACAGGAGACCGCAGCTTTAAAGGGGAAAATGCAGACGTTGGATAAAAACAGCAAGAAATAGTCATTTTCATTAATAGGTCTCAAACAGTTTACGAAACAGCCATTATTATCTAAGCTTTATGCACATCCTTCCTGCAGACCCCTCTCGTATTACTCCCAAAGCTGAGTTAGCTCACAGCCGCACTCCCGACATCAGGAGCCACTTTTCTATTAACGCGGATCACAACAAGCTCCTGCAAACCCCATCTGAGTTCGGGTCATGTGTCTCGGCTCCCCACTGACATTACCATTCGCTTAAGAGGACACCGCTCCTTCCTCCTCGGGAGACTTGGGGGGGCTCTTGGAGCGCGACCTGGACTTGGACTCCCTCTTGGACACGGGCGGAGGGCTCCGGGACCGGGACCGGGACCTGGAGCGCGAGCGAGACCTGGACACCGACGAGGACTTGGACTTGGACCTCCGCGCCGACCTGGACTTCGACGTGGACCGCGACCTCGAGCGAGTGCGGGAGCGAGACTTGGAGCGGCTGTAGCGGGAGCGACTGCGGGACCTGGACCGGCTCCGACTCCGGGAGCGGCTGCGACGGCGCCGCCGAGGGCTGAGGGCGGACGGGCCGGGCGTCAGAGCGGCCATCGGGGCCCGAGGGCCGCGCCCCGCCCGCGTGCTGCGCCCGCCCCGCCGCCATTACCGCGCCGCCCGGGCGCCATTTCCCCGCCGCCCGCCGCGGCCCCGCGCCCGCCCGCCGCCGCCACGTGTCCGCGCGGCCCTTTGTGCCCCCCGCCCGTTTACCTGCGGCTCCGGCGTCCGTAGCCGCCGCCGCCATAGCGCCGGGGCGGCGGGCCCCGGCGGCTGTGGTGCGAGTCCGGGGGGCGGCCGTAGCGCGCCATCTGTACGCGCAGCTCGCGGCCATCCAGCACGGCCCCGTCCATGGCGTCCATGGCGTCCTCGGCGTCGCGCTTGTCGTGGAAGCGGACGAAGGCGAAGCCGCGGGACTCCTTGGTGTAGCGGTCCCGCGGGATGTACACGTCGCCGACGCGCCCGTACTTCTCGAACACGCGCCTCAGGGTGTCGGGCGAGGTGCGGTAGGTCAGGTTGTCCACCTTGAGGGAGGTCATGCCCTCCACATCGGGAGGCGGGCGACCGTAACTCATGGCCCTGGAGAGCCGGCCGGGGGCCGCGACTGCGCGCCTACAAACTGACGCCCTGGGCGGGCCCGCGCGCTCGGCTGAGGCGGCGGTTTCCTCACACTAAGCCGGCTCGACGCCGCGCCGCGCCGCGCCGCGCCTCCGGCAGTTGGCTTCCGCGTGGAAACGCTGAGAGAGGCCGGACGGGGTGGGGAGAAAAACGGGAGCGAAAAGCCGCAGCACCCGACTCCACCAAAGAAACAACTGGGCGGGCAAGCGGATCTAGCGCCCGTTTATATCCCTCCTCACAAAATGGCGCCCGCGCCACCCGGAAATGAATCCCCTGATTGGCTCGCCCCTCCCCGCCCCGCAACGCCGAGGCCACGCGCCCCGCCTCTGTCCGACGCGCCTGCGCAGAGCCCGGCGGGCGGGCCGAAAAGCGCGGAGTCACTATTGCTGGGAGGGGGGAGCGGCATTTGTGGGCAGTTGGAAAGCCCGCGAAACGCTCTTTCCGGCTGCGAGGCAGGACGGGCGCTCTCCCGCGGGAGGAACAGGAAGCGCTCCCCTTGCAGGCCCCGCCTTCTTTTCGTGCCAGTGTACGACCTCCACGCAGCTTTTCTGCTCGGACCTCCGTAGAAGGTTCCCGCTTTACCAGAGGGGGTACTACTCCCCCTACCCCCGTTTGCCTCGCGGTCTCCAGCCTTCTCAGGCCCCGCAACGATGTCTCCAGGCTCCCTCCCGCAGTTCCCGACTTCTCCGCTGGGTTCCGCTTTGTAGCCCCGCACGGCGCGCCTGAGTGTTTCAGGCCGCACAGGACTACATTTCCCAGCCGGCCGAGCGGCTGGCGCCGACGCTACGGTCAGATGACCTGGTCGCCTGACCCGCGGTGAGTCAGGGCCGGCGAGGCGGGCGGGGCCGCGCCGGCCGCTGCGCCTCGGCCTTGGCCCATAATCCCGCTCGCGGGCCGGTCAACCTGGAGCCGCGGCGTTATTGGCACCTCTCCGGGTGTCGGGCCTTTCCCTGCTCGGATCGGATCCTGGGAATGTCCTAACTGCCCGTGGGGAGAACCTCCCTCCCGGCCCGCGGTTCTGATCCAAGAACTGGAAGTTGACAGCTTGGCAGCTTTGCTCCTGGATCTGCCTCCTCTCCTCACCGTCTCATTTCCTTCCCCAGGATTGGCAGTGGGTTCCCCCGAGGAGAGCTGACCGCCCCGGGCTGCTGCTGACCTCCGCCGGACTTGAGCCACAATGTCCCCGGAATCGAAAAAGCTTTTCAACATTATTATTTTAGGAGTTGCCTTTATGTTTATGTTCACCGCCTTTCAAACTTGTGGAAATGTGGCGGTGAGTCGGGATGTGTTCTCCCTCCTTTGAAGTGCCTCTCATAACGCGATCCAAAAGCGATAATAAACAGTAACTGTGCCTAACAGCGCGCTTAAGTTGCACCTTGTACTTTCCCACCCACCCTTCCTCGGTTTTTACGCCTCGGTTTAATTTCGTGTGTCAGGCATTTCTTATTAATACTGTATCGGGATGGGGAGTTCAACAAGACCGCTTATTCCTCTGATCTGACTTGGGGTTTGTATGTTGACCTGTTCCTGTTATTTCTTGTCTGTACTGAAGTCTCCATTAGTATGGGGAGAATTGAGGAGGAAAGAACCCCAAGGCCTAGCTACAGTTGATGTGCCCCCCCCCCGCCCCCGCCCCATCATCGGTTTGCCTTGTCCCGTTTTGTAGTCCTTTTTTTGGTCTCATAGTTGACTTTCAGTATGAAGTACTGAGTATCTTGAATTTTGCTTTACCCGGTGCTTCGTTCTCAGTTCTCGGTGGGGATGGGGAGGGAGACTGCGAAGTGTTTTTTCATTGATTAGCTTTATCTTCCACGCAGCAAACTGTCATCAGGAGCTTAAATAGCACAGATTTTCACGGCAGTGGATATACCAGGTATCGTACCGTATGATTGGTCTTACTTGATACATTACAGTAGTTACCTAAACCCTATCAGAATTTTTGGCAATAATTCTGTGATTGGATTAGTAGTGGTTGCTTTTTCTCCGTAACTGGTCTGTTTGGGAGAACATAATAGAATAAAGGTGATGAGTTTAGGTTTCATGTAGAATTAAATACTGGGTTTGAAATCCTGGGTTTCATGACTTAACACTGCGTTGTGTTAGGCAAGTTACTTCTATGAGCCCAGTTTCCTTGCTCAGATAATGCGTTGACGTGTAAAGCTCTTGGCACAGTGCCTGGCATTTAATAAACACTCAAGTATTGACATAATTACATCTTCTCAATCCTAAACAGAGGGTGTTTTATATGATTCTTGAAACACTCGGTCCTGTCGTAATTTCATGATTAACATACTGTCATCAGGAGCTTTTAGATTTTTGTTGAGGTGTTTAGTCTCGCTTTCACAGAGAAAATAAAGTGAAAAGGCCTTCCTGAGTCACTAGTACATTGTGACTGAAGCTGGGAGTGTAATGCACACATGGATATAAGGACATACGGGTTTCTTAATTTCTCTGCAGTTAACTATTAGATGCTGACCAACATCCCCCCCTTCCCCACAACTCTTATTTGGTTCTTTATTACCTATCCTAAACCTGATCTTATATATGATATTTGAGAATAAATGGGTGCTAATGTCCTTTTTTAATTTTTATTTATTTATTTATTTATTATATTTTATTTATTTATTTGACAGAGAGATAGAGAGCACAAGTAGGCAGAGAGTCAGGCAGAGGGAGAGGGAGAAGCAGACTCTCCACCGAGTAGGGAGCCCGACGCGGGGCTCGATCCCAGGACCCTGGGATCATGACCTGAGCCGAAGGCAGACGCTTAACCGACTGAGCCACCCAGGCTCCCCAAATGTCCATTTTTTAAGTGTTTAACAATACCACAGTTTTTAGTAGAGCTTTGTCTTCAATTCCAGAGAACCTTTACTGTTTGAGAGGATCATAAAGGCCAAAGAATAATTTACTTTGGGTTTGTAAATAGTGTCTAGTAAATGAATTCAGGACCCTCAAAATGGTTTTAGTCATACTTTGCTACAAGACGTATGTACTAGGGCTGGGTCTATAGTAGCTGAATAATGTTCAGAAGAGACCATTAGATTGAGTTAAATAAGTTCTGGTTTAAGGAAGTGATAACTCTGTGCTTGTCATTTATAACAGTGAAACTTCATGCAGTTGCCAGGAGTTGTAAACTAAGTTTGTAGAGCAGACGCATTGACTAGGGCCTCTGGGGTGAGATGACCAGGGATGGGATTCTGGCTCCACCATTCACCAGCCATCTAGCTGGACTTTTGGCAAGTAACTTAACCCCTCTGTGTTTCAGTTTGCTGTAGAGTGAGGATAATAATAACAATACTATCTTTATAGAGCTGTCAGATTTAATAAAGAAAACATACATAAAACGCTTGGCTCGGTGTGTGTTACATGTTATATGTTAGCTGTTATTATAATTTACCAGTCCATCAAAAGCATATTGTCCAAGGCAAGCTGATTCAAAGGGAAATTTGATGAGACTTTAAGATTTTGTATAAGTGAAAACCTCATTATAGGATTCAGCTTAATGATAGAATTATTGTTAATTCCAACTAAAGAAATGAATGTTTATGGCAAAAAAAATCTATAGACTCTAAGTGGATTTGAAAAAAACGCACTTTTGAGACAGTGATTCAAGGGTTTTGTTTTTTCCTTTTATGTGTTATGTGTACAGCATGGCAATTATATATGGAGTGTTCTCTGCTTCAAATTTGATTACACCATCAGTGGTTGCCATTATAGGACCTCAGCTTTCTATGTTTGCAAGTGGTTTATTTTACAGGTGAGTAGTGCGATTTTCTTTCATTTAATCCAAACACCCTCAGCACCTTCCAAGCATATAGTAAGCTTTTCACAAGAAATTGCTGATTTGGGGGTGCGTGGCTGGCTCAGTCAGAAAGGCATGTGACACTCGATCTCTGGGTTGTAGGTTCGAGCCCCACGTTGGGTGCAGAGATTACGTAAAAAAAAAAAAAAACATTGCCGACTTGGATTGAATAGAATACAGGCGGTATTTTAGGGATTTGGTTCTCTCCTTGATGCCCAGGGATACCATGTTGTTTTAATGTGGTGGCATGTGTGCATACTTCCTTTCATCTTACTATTCGTAAAAATAGATATCTCTATTTTTTTCTTTCTATGAGAGTTGAACTTCCCGTGAAATAATCTTATTTTATATCAAGTTGATTAACAGGAATTCAACCGAGATAACTAAGCTTTTTTTCTGGGTTGTAGAATGACAGTCCCAGCCCCTGCCGAGCTATTGGCAAAGGCCAATTGCAAACCCTCGTTCAATGTCCAATCTTACAAATTCAGAATAGTAAATTAAGAAATGAGTAGGTCACATTTGTCCTCTTTCCCCCCAACACTTTAGCTAGTGTTGGAGAAGTCCTTTACAGGTTGACTTTTAAAAAAGAGAGAGAATTCTCAGAACTGATTCCTAGAAGGCATAATTGGCATTCTATATGAGGTATTGTTTGACCGTAATGCGTTGACCTGTTACATTTTAGCATGTACATTGCCGTTTTTATCCAGCCTCTCCCATGGTCCTTCTACACAGCCTCTGTTTTCATTGGAATTGCAGCTGCCGGTAAGCATCTTGATGTTTATTTTCTCTGTCTTCTGGGATTTATTTAAGAGTATCATGTGTTTCATGTGTGAAGCCAAGTGATTTCATTCCCTTGACAAAACTTTTGGTTTGAATTTCAGTGCTTTGGACAGCACAAGGAAATTGCCTGACAATAAATTCAGATGAGCATACTATTGGGAGAAACAGTGGAATTTTCTGGGCACTCTTACAATCTAGGTAATAATCCTTCTGGAGCTCAGTCTTTTCTTTAACTCTTTTGTCACACCATTTTTTTAGATCTTTGTTGTGTTGAAAATTCCAATCTTCTATGTTCCATGACTTGAGTTCCTAGCTGCACATGATACGGATTTAACGTTTTATAAAATTGCATGAAATGCATGGACCTGCCTAATTGGGACTAGTGATTAGTAAAGAGAAAATCATGTTAACCATAATGTATTTAGCATCTGCTATATTTCAGGCAGGGACTGTTGGCTTCATTACTAAATCTCAGTAATCCTCACCACCTCATGAGACCAGAAGGTATAATCTGTGTTCTACAGATGAGAAAACAGAGGCTTAAAAGTGAAGTAACTTATCTGATTTAAACCATCCTTATCTGGATTCCAAAGACCACATCCTTCCCACTGAGCTGCATATTGATAGCTATTAACGAATAACTGATAGCTATTAACAAATATATTAAAATTCAAAAGTGAGAGGCGCCTGGCTGGCTCAGGGGAGCATGTGACTCTTGATCTCAAGGTCGTGAGTTCGAGCCACATGTTGGGTGTAGAGATTACTTAAAAATAAGTGAACTTTAAAAAAAAAAAAATTAAAGTGAGACTAATTACATCAGGGCTGAATGATACAACATGTTCTATATTTCCTAAGTAAAAAAGCAAGAATGGTCATTCTGTTGTGGAATCTGTCCTGAGGATTTACCCTCGTAGATATTACCTAAAATTGTGGTGTTGATAAGTCTTCATAAATGCAGATGTTTAGTTGTAAGGGGGTGTATATTAAGAAACCAGAGTGTAGGCGAATGATTCCTTCTCTGGGAAAGTATGCTAAAGTATCTGATTAGATGCAGGTATCTGAATCATGAATTTTTTTTTCCCCCATAGATTCTTTAAAATACAGAATTTGAGAAGTAGCATAAGCTTGTTTCCAAGTAGTCATTTCCAGAGTCCCAATAAATCACATGGTTCAAAGAGAGTCAAGTCTTTGAAGGGTGGTTCAGGCGGAATCAGGTCACTGTCACGTGGAAGGAGACTAAATTCCATCTGGGTCAGTTTTTCAGAAAGAGTCAGGGTGGAGTCGATACTTTTAAATGATCTAGGGCAGGTAGATACTTTTAAAATTACATATGCTTAAAAAATCTTTTTCACTTTTTAACAAATAATGGAAAAACTGCTCTACCAACTGTAAATATGGAAATAAATCCTCAACATCTTGTCCTCCCTTTTCTTCCCCCAGCTTGTTCTTTGGAAATCTCTACATATATTTTGCTTGGCAGGGGAAAACTCAAATATCAGGTTTGTGTTATTCACTTTGCTTTATTCACACATGTTCGAAGGATAATAATAGTTTCACAAAATATCCATTATTGCTCTGTTCAGATTGTTCTAATGAACCTTGCTGCCTTAAGTCCTCTCAGATTTTCGTCTGTAGTAACTTTTTTCCTTATATTATATTATTGAGCTAGGATTTTAGTTTATGACTATGCTTTAAGCAGCTCAAGGTATAGGAGAAGGTTATGCTGTGTATGAGCATACTAGTCACTTGTTAGACTTTTGAACCCTTGTTTTGTCTGTACGCTTCTTTGGTTAAAAGAATATGATTAATTTCTTGTGCCGTTTTTCTTTTGGCTTATTAGTATTTCTTTACCTGAAAGACAAAGGTGGAGGTATTCCATTGAGTTTCTTGTTTGAGATTTTCACTAATTTATAAAGTAAACATTTAACAAGGAAATGTTTGGATGATTTCAACAACCTCTGAACATAACACCAACTTGAATTGTTTGCATGGCCAGTGCTATCAGCTTTCTTCTTTTTTTCTCTAGAGAGTGACCGAAGAACAGTGTTTATTGCCCTCACAGTGATTAGCCTTGTGGGGACAGTTCTTTTCTTTCTCATTCGGCAGCCAGATTCTGAAAACGTCCTAGGAGAAGATGAGTCTTCTGATGACCAGGACCTGGAAGTCAACGAGTAAGAAGTTGGCAACGTTCCTTTTTATTTGAAAATGTATTTTGAGTTGATGTAGTTTAGAGATTTCCAACCTTTTTGCAGCCCTAACTGATACCCAGCATTGGGCAGACAGGAGGAAAAAGTTTTATTTTTATTTATTTCTTTATTTTAAGTAGGCTCCACCCTCAACGTGGGCCTCAAACTCACAACCCTGAGATCGAGAGTCACAGGCTCAGGGTACCTGGGTGGCTCAGTCGGTTAAGTGTCCAACTCTTGATTTCAGTTCAGGTCATGATCTCAGGGTCCTGGGGTTGAGCCCCACCTCGGGCTCTGCGCTCCCTGAGTGGGGAGTCTGCTGAAGGTTCTCTCCCTCTCCCTGCCCCCCTCAGGCACACGTGCTTGCTCCTGGTCTCTCTCTCTCTCAAGTCTTTCTTTTTTTTTTTAAAGTTGCAGGCTCTACTGACTGAGCCGGCCAGGAGCCGAGGGAAAGGTTTCAAAGCCAATCAGAAGAGAAAGAAGACAAAAGGGGAGTTGTGGGGAGAAGGAGGGGAAAGGAAAGGAGAAGCAGGGGAAAGTTTACAGGGGATTTGAGTCTAATCCCAGGTTGTGGCTGACAAGCTGTATGACCCTGGACGTAGCCATAATCCCCTTATTTCTCTGGGCCTCGATTTCCTCTTTCAATTCAGCCGGCATCCGTGTGTTTTAATGTACAAAGATGCGGGCTTATAAAGTTAAATAGAAGACAGTCTTTGCCCTCTGTTACTGTTTCTCTGACCCAACCCTAAAATATCCCCATTCCTGTGGCGAGTGTGAGGGGCAGGGCCATCAACAGTTGTCCTCGAAGATCCTCAGTTACACCCATGCTCCTATGCACAGTGCTGGGTTTTGGCCCTAACCTACGTGTGTGCTCTTCCCCAAAGTAGTCCAAATGGGGAAAGAGGTGTATAGCCCTGTGTTTTTCTAAAAACTGTAAATTACCTTGAACCTGTTTCAGTTATAAGTAAAACTAAAATATCACAGTTTCTCTGCAGGTATTATCCAGGTTTGAGGAAAGGGAAATGAGAAATTTTTGCCAGTCTCGTTTTGCTTGGCTTCTGAATCAGTAAATTGTGAGGATTACCGTATAGCCTTTTATCTATTGTTAAAACATTGGCACTGAGCATTCTGTGCTGCCTTGTTAACCCCCAAAAGGCCTAAAATCCTCCTGTCAGAGGATCATTAAGCATTCAAAATTTCACTAAGTTTGTTTAAAGCAAAAGAGAGCGGCACCTTGGTTCAGTCGGTTAAGTGTCTGCCTTTAGCGCAGGTCATGATCCCAGGGTCCTGGGATCGAGCCCCACATCAGGCTCTCTGCTCAGTGGGAAGCCTGCTTCTCTCTTTCTCTCTCTCTGTCCTCATGAATAAATAAACAAAATCTTTAAAAAAATATGTAAAGAAATAAAAATAAAAGGAGAGGTGTTACCTTTGATTTGAACACGTATTTATATGATACATATTTATAACATCAACTATGTGTATATATTTTTAATCATAAACTAACAGATATTGGAGAACGATTCTATGAAGATGAATACCACAGATTCAGCAAAAATTAAAACACCTGTTCGTTTAGCAAATGTCAGATGTTGGTGCTGTGCAGACAAATACAGCCCACCTATTTTCAAGGAACTTCGCAGATAGATAGAGGATTGTATAACTGATAAGGTGCAGTGCTGAGGAGTATTGCTCAGTCCTTTTAGCATTTTCTCTCCCTGAATTGTCTCCCAAACTTGAAGCTTTCTTGTCTTTATTCTATAAATAGCACAGACTCTGTGCCAGCCCCCTTCTAAACCTGAGGGATACAGCAGTGAACAAGACAGATAAGTCCCTGTTCTTGTGTGACTTAATTTTGGAGGGGGTGTAGATAATACACGTGTAAAACCGCAAAGTAAGTGCTCGAGAAGGCAGCGAAAGGGGGAGGTGATGGAGGGCTGGGTGGCTCCCTGAGGCCTGACTGGTGAGGAGGGACGATCAGCTGATGGCCATTGCCAAGGCCAGGTGGTGGGAAGGGGCGCGGTGGGTGCCAGGGCTGCAGGGAGGGAGTGGAAGTAGGAGTATCTGCAGTAGTCAGGGAGTCGATTCTGGGAGGCTCTGCAGGAGCGCAGGTTCTGTTCTTGGTGTGATTAGAAGCCATTGAAGGGTGGTGCCTGGGTGGCTTAGTTGAGCATCCGACTCTTGATTTTGGGCTCAGGTCATGATCTCAATGACCTGAGATCAAGCCCAGTGTCGGGCTCTGCTCTCAGCACAGGGGCAGGAGGGGGTTCTGCTTGGGATTCTCTCTCTCCCTCTGCCCCCAAATTGCCCTCAAAAAGAAAAAAAAAAAAAAAGCCATTGAAGGAAAAAGTAGGATCTGATTTTAAAGGATTCCACTAAAGGCCTTTAAAGAAGCTGATTTGAGGATGCAAAAAGGCAGCTCAGTGTCCTGAGTGGCCCCGTTATGTGTAATTTGCATGTGTGAGGCCCTGTGAGCTGGGTGATCTCTAGGAATTTCTTTCTTGGCAGTTGCGTCTCTGGCCCCTCCTTCCCTCCCTCCCTTCGGTCTATATTTGAGTGTCTATTCCAGGCACTGTTTGGAGGGTGTCTTGTTGAACAGAGATGTTCGTGCATTCATGGAGCTTTCTAGTGGGTGAGAGAGAAGTAGGAATTCTTTTTAAAAACAGTTTTTATTGAGCTATAATTCACATGCCGTACAATTTACCCATTTAAAGTGTACAGTTCAGGGGTGCCTGGGTGGCTCAGTCGTTAAGTGTCTGCCTTCAGCTCAGGTCATGATCCCAGGGTCCTGGGGTGGAGCCCCACATTGGGCTCCCTGCTCAGCGGGAAGCCTGCTTCTCCCTCTCCCCTCCCCCTGCTTGTGTTCCCTCTCTCGCTGTGTCTCTCTCTGTCAAATAAATAAATAAAATCTTTAAAAAAATAAAAGTAAAGTGTACAGTTCAGAGGTGCCTGGGTGGCTCAGTTGGTTAAGGGTCTGACTCTTGATTTTGGCTCAGGTTATGATCTCAGGGTTCTGAGATTGAGCCCTGCATTGGGCTCTGTGCTGGGCATATAACCTGCTTAAGATTCTCTTTCTCCCTCTCCCCTCCCACCCCCATGCTCATGCTCTCTCAAAAAAAAAAAAAAAAAAAAGTATAATTCAGGGACTTTTAGGATATTCACAGAAGTGTGTTCATTGCCACAACAAATGTTAGAATATTTTTATTACCCCCCAAAAGAACCCTTACGTCTTAGCCATCTGATATTAGAAAATAGAAATGTAAAGGAGCGGAGGGTATAGAAGTATGGGCTGGAGGTGGGGGGCTGGCTTGCAATTTAATACTATAACAGTTATTTATATGTAGCACACACACATATATATACGTATATGTATAAATGTAAAATTACAGATGGAGTTGCCGGGGAAGGCTGAGAAGGTAACATTTAAGTTGTAGGGGATGAAAAATACTTTTCCCTTCACTCTCCTGTGTTCTCAGTTGAGACCCCCTGTAATAAAGATTAATAAGAAGAAAAAGCAATCAGAAGTTTATTCACACATGTTCCTCATGTATACATGAAGGAAGCCCAGGGGAGAGTGAGTAATTCCCTAGGCTGGCTTAGAATTTAGGCTTTATATACTATCTAAATAGGGAAAGGGGAGGAGGAATGGAGGCCTCTTACAGGAGAGTAAATGATTTTATGGAAGGATGAGCAGACCCGTAGAAGAATAGATGGGAGATAGGATAGCTTGTGACATACCGTTGGTGTCTGGTCTCCTCTCTTATGACAAGAGCCGGTCTTCCCTGTCTGATGAGACTCCCAGAGGTGATTTATAACACTTCAGTTCCTTTTGGAGGCTCTTTCTTTAGGCAGATGAGGGGAGTTCAAAGAAAGCCTGTACCCATATTTGCTGTTTTTTGAGTGCCTGCAGCTCAACATAATCAATATATTAAAGCATGTTTTGGGGTGGCACGTTCTGCTACCCTCCAAAGTCGAGACCTTAGAGCGGTAAGTGAAATGGGAAGGTATTGGAGGGTTTGAGAGGGATTGAATGTGATCTCACTCTGCGCCCTCCATCCTCGCAGGATGTGGGGATCGTCTTATTTTAGTATCCTACTAGAAAGGGCTCCCTTTAATATCTCACTGAATTGAATGGGGAATGATTTGCACCTGAGTGCTGGCTGGCTTAATTGTATTTTAATAGTCTATAGATATATAAATTGGTTCCTACTTATTTGGGGCTTGAAATATAAAATACCAGAATCCTATATCTGATCCTATCCAACTACAAGAGTACTATCAGTTACTTGGAGTCTAAATTTGCTTCCAGGGAAGACGTGAGTTTTTATGGTGGGGGAAAAAAGGTTTTTCCTATTGGTTAGAACAGACTACCTTTTTTGTGTCACTAATTCAGTTATGTAAGTCAGATAGATCTCTATGAGGTTTCTTTTTTTTTTTTTTTTTTGTAAAAATATTTAAAGATGGCAGAGGAGTAGATATTACCCTATCGGCAGGCAGAGTAAGAAACGTAATCTTTTATAAATGTCTTTAGCATAATCACATTAAACAACTTAAACTTTAGCTACATGGTCTCATTAAATTCTTTTGGTTAAGTGGTAGCACGCCTATTTTATAAACGGGGAAGTGAAACTTGGAGGCATGGAGTAACTTGTCTAAAAACCATATGACGAAGAAGTGGCCGAGCACAGCACAGACTCTGAAGCCCACATTTTTGACCCCAGCTTCTCCCATACCCAGCTGTGGAGCATGGGTGCTGGCGTCACTTTTGAAGAGTTTTCACCCTGCACAACTTAGTTTTGAAGGAGTCAGAGTGGAGGGAGATTGAGTTCTTACAAGGTGTTTTTACAGTATGAGTATAGCAGGGTGGAGGAGATTTCTGGCCTTTCTGAGAAGGACACGCATGGATGTGTGCTTTCAGCTTAGTATGAGAGAATTGTGTTCGGCTGTTAATAAAGGATCACCCAGGTGGCGCTTTCACCTTGTTCTCTGAGGCAAGGATGGGGTCCCAGAGGGACACCCTGGAGCAAAGAGCACTGCAGGCAATGGAAATGTTTGCCAGACCATGTAGAGGACGGAGCTTTGACGAACGTCAGTGAAAATATGATAGCATTTTATCTCTTTTCAGTTTTCAGGGGAAAACACTTCGATATTTTGTTTTATTTTTTCAGGTCTGCGCAGAGCACTATGGGAAAAGCAATAGATGCGTTCAGTAAGTATTTTCTGTGTCGGAAATGCAAGAGCTGTTCGGGAACAGCTACAACATTTGCCTTTCCCCCTTTCCCCAGTAACTTTGGATTGATGATCCTCCAGTGTTTTTGTTCTTCCAGGTATGCGGCTCTGCAGTTCAGTAGTCGTCTCAGCCAGGGTCTAACTGGGGTGTGTGCAGGATGGACGGGAACCTGACTGCCCGGCCTGGTGCCGTTCGGGAGAGACACAGGGAGGTGCAGAGAGCTCAGGGACTGGTGCTTGACAAGGCAGTGAGGACACACAGACCGTCTCCTCAGAACCGAGTTTGGAAGAACAGTTGGGCTTGTCTGCGGAGGGTTCTTCCTGGCTATGCCTCCCTACGTGTTTATTTTGTGTTAGTCTCACAACCGCTCTGTGAGTATCCTAGAACACACACCTACCATTCTCTCTATTTTATACAAGAGAGAATTGAGGCTTAGCTAAAGAAATTATTTACCCAAGGTCAGATAGTTAGTACACTGCTGAGCTGGGATCCGAGCCCTGACTGTGACAGGCAAAGTCAATGATTCCCGTAACAGCTGTCTTGTGGTTCCTTCAGAAACCGGCAAACATGGCTTCTGGGTCTCATACGGCCTGATGTGGGCCAGTTCTTTGCTTCTGCCTGTAGCTCTCTCAGCCTCTTTTTCTCCCAAGGAGAGATTCTGACCACTGTCTAGTGGGGAGCAGCCTTTTAGGGGCCATGTTGTTTGAGTTAAGGCCCCTTGGCCTTACACGCTCTGCTTGTGGGTAGCCCACAGGTTGCCTTGGGCTAGGGTGCAAGTTCTTGATCTAATCAGCCATGGCCTAAGTCAGAGGACACAAAGCACACAACTTCTAGCCAAGAATTCATGTGGTCGCCTTTTTTATTTTTTTTAATTTTTAATTTTTTTAAGATTTTCTTTATTTACTTGTCAGAGACAGAGAGAGAGGAAACACAAGCAGGGGGAGTGGGAGAGGGAGAAGCAGGCTTTCCGCCGAGCAGGGAGCCCGATGCGGGACTCGATCCCAGGACTCTGGGATCATGACCTGAGCGAAGGCAGACACTTAACGACTGAGCCACACAGGTGCCCCTTATTTATTCTTAATCATCACATTCCCTCTATTGATGCTGTGATGCATGTTGTACAGAAAAGGCTCCTGCTTATCTGAAAAGCATTTCATTCCTCAACCGAATGTATATGTTTGATAGGATTCTAGAAAGTTTTTAAAAATTTATTTCTTGGTCTTGAAACAATCCTGAAGTCCATTTGGAAGAATAAATCAGAATAGCCAAGAGAATTTTTGAGAAGGAGAAGGACTTTCCCTAATAAATATTAAAGTCAATTGTGAATTCATTTGAACACTTTGGAATAGAAAGAGCAGTGGAACTGGATTCTAGAATTGGGCCCACGTCCACAATACAATAAATACAATAAAAGAGACTCTTCAATAAGCAAAGTTAGGGAGAGGAGTGTGTAGGAAAATAGAGTTAATGTAAAATTGAAACTAGAAAAGTAAGTGAAGAAACTGATTGGGTAAAGAAAAGCCTTTCAAGGGGCACCTGGGTGGCTCAGTCGTTAAGTGTCTGCCTTCGGCTCAGGTCATGATCTCAGGGTCCTGGGATCGCAGGCTCCCTGCTCAGCGGGGAGTCTGCTTCTCCCTCTCCCACTCCCCCTGCTTGTGTTCCCTCTCTCGCTGTGTTTCTCTCTAATAAATAAATAAAATCTTTAAAAATAAAAAAAAAAGAAAAAGCCTTTCAAGGATCAGACGATAAGGGAAAAGAATGCCCTTTGGTTGCTTAAACTGTAAAACTTCGTCTATCAAAACAACCTAATAGAGTTAAAATGGCAGGGAAGATATTTGCTTAAGTATAAAATGCAAATTTGAAAGTTTTCCATCAAATTTCAAAAGATAAAAAAATAATGGTCCGTGTTATGGGGAGTAGGTATTTATATACCTAAGACCACGTTGCTGATAGGAATATATATTTGTAGTATTTTCTGAAGAGCAATTTGTCAACAAGTTATCAGAAGCCTTAGAAATGTTTGTATGTTTACCCCAGCAACTCCACTAATACTTCAGGAAGTAATTAGGAATTTCTGTTAAGATTTAATGGCTAAGATATCTATATTAGTGAGAAACTGAAAGTAATTGAAATATTTCACTACAAGGCATTGGTACGTCTACACAGTAGATTATCCTAGCCATTAAAATGAACTCGATGAATGTTAGAAAATATTTGCTCTCAGGGCGCCTGGGTGGCTCAGTCGTTAAGCGTCTGCCTTCAGCTCAGGTCATCCTGGGATCGAGCCCTGCATTGGGCTCCCTGCCCCTTGGGAAGCCTGCTTCTCCTTCTCCCACTCCCCCTGCTTGCGTTCCCTCTCTCGCTGTGTTCCTCTCTGTCAAATTAAAATCTTAAAAAAAAAAAAAGAAAATATTTGCCTATTATGTGAAAACAAATTTTAAAATAGTATGTATAATGAAATTTGTTTCTATTAAAAATTTTTTTTAAGTCTTGAAGAAGATCCATTAAGCTGTTAGATGATATTTTTTCTCTTAATAGGTTTATTGAATATAATTCACACACTGTACAATCACCCATTTAAAGTGTACAGTTCAGTGGCCTTTAGTACATTCACAGGGCTCTGCATCCATCACCACAGTCAATTATAGGACCTCTTCTTCACCCCAGAAGGAATTTCTGTACCCATTAGCATTCACTCCCCATTTCCTCCCCACCACCCCCATCCTCACCCTAGGCATCCATTAATCCACTTTCTGTCTCTAGGCTTGCCTATCCTGGATATTATTTTGTATACATAGAATAGTACTATATGTGCTCTTCTGTGACATGTTTCTCTTATGGTTTTGGTTTTACTTCTGGTCATGGTTTCAAGGCTCATCCATGTTCTAGCATGTTCTGCAGAATGGGTTGTTTGTAGGCATCATGAATAATGCTGCTCTGAACATCCGTGCACAGGTTTTTGTGTGGATGTACATCTGCACATCTCTGTGTAGGAACCTAGGAGTCGTAGGATTGCTGGGTCCTCTGGTCGCTGTGTTTAACCTTCTGAGAAACCAGCAGATGTTTTCCGGAGTGGCTACAACCATTTTATGGTCCCACCAGCTGTAGCTGAAGGTTCCAGTTTCTCCAGTTTCTCCACTTCCTTGAGTTCTTATCTATCTTTCTGATGATAGCTGTCCCCATGGGTGTAAAGTGGTGTCTCGTGGTTTTGATCAACATATCCCTAATGGCTAAGGATGCGGAGCGTATTTTCACATGCTTGTGGGTCATTTGCATCACGTCTCTAGAGAACTGTCTACTCAGGTCCTTTGCCCGTTTTTTATGGGTTGCCTTTTTATTGGTGAGTTGTAAAAATTCTTTTCTTTCTTTATATATTTTTTAAAGATTTTTATTTATTGGGGCGCCTGGGTGGCTCAGTCGTTAAGCGTCTGCCTTCGGCTCGGGTCATGATCCCAGAGTCCTGGGATCGAGCCCCGCATCAGGCTCCCTGCTCAGCAGGAGGCCTGCTTCTCCCTCTCCCACTCCCCCTGCTTGTGTTCCCTCTCTCGCTGTCTCTCTCTCTATCAAATAAATAAATAAAATCTTTAAAAAAAAAAAAAGATTTTTATTTATTTATTTGACAGAGAGAAAGCGTGGGGCTCGATCCCAGGACCCTGGGATTGCGACTCGAGCCGAAGGCAAACACTTAACGACTGAGCCGCCCAGGCGCCCGAGTTGTAAAAATTCTTTATATATTCTAGATAAAAGTCTCTTATATGTGATTTGCAAATATTTTCTCCCATTCGTTAGGTTGACTTTTCATTTTCTTGATGGTATCTCTTAAAGCACAAAAGTTTTAAATTATTGATGAAGGCTGATTTATACATTTTACTTTTTGCATGTGTTTTTGGTGTCCTAAGGTTTTGCTTAGCCCCAGGTTGCAAAGATTTGCTCCTGTATTTTCTCCTAAGACTTGTACAGTTTCAGTTCTGATATTTAGGTCTGGGATCTATTCTGGGTTCATTGTTATTTATGTTGTGAGGTGGGAGTCCAACTTCAGTCCTCTGCATGTGGCCACCTAGTTGTCCTGCTGAAAAGACTGTTCGTCTTCCCCACTGAATTGTGTTGGCGTCCTTGTCAAAAATCAATTGACTGTAAATGTGACTGTTTATTTCTAGATGCATGTGTCTGTCCTTATGCTGGTACCATGCTTTGCTGATGACTATCAAACTTTGAAGTTGGAAAGTGTGAGCCCTCCAACTTTGTTCTTTTTCAAGATTATTTTGGCCATGGTGGGCCCCTTGAATTTCCGCATGAATTTTAGGATTGGTTTGTCTATTTCTGTAAATAGATGATGTTGTGTTGTTGTTTTTAATAGGCTTCATTATTTTAGAGCTGTTTTAGATTTTTAAAAATTTATTTGAGAGAGTGAACAAGTGAGAGAGAGAAGCAGACTCGCCACTGAGCAGGGAGCCCTATGTGGGGCCCGATCCCACGACCCTGGGATCACGACCCAAGCTGAAGGCAGACACTTAACTGACTGAGCCACCCACGCGCACCCCATTATAGCCGTTTTAGGTTCACAACAAAATTGAGAAGGAGGAGAGTTCCCAAAATTGAGAAGGAGGAGAGCCCCCCGCTCTCACACATGCACAGTCTCCCCCACTATCCGTTGTCCCCCACCAGAGCGGTGCATTTGTTACGGTTGATGCACCTGCTACATTCACACATCATCATCACCCAGAGTCCACAGTTCACAAGGGTGCACCCTTGGTGGTGTACATATTATGGGTTTGGACAAATGTATAATGACATGTAGTCACCGTTACGGTATCATTCTAGATTATGTTTTAAAATTTCTTTTTGTTAAATATTCTGATTATTCAAAAACAAATATGCTTTGCTAATGTTATTTTTTAAAATTAAAAGTATTTTATTTATTTATTTATTTTTATTCTTATGTTAATCCCCATACATTACATCATTAGTTTTAGATGTAGTGTTCCATCATTCATTGTTTGTGCATAACACCCAAAAGTATTATTTTAAACCTTGTATTAATCGTAATTTTTTTCCTGGAAATACGTGAAAATGTCTTACTGTATTTAGTCTTACTACATTTCAGTGAGATTAGAGAAAAAAGTATATCCTCTTCTGCATGTGGCGAAATTCAGGACAGACCGTTTGTGTCTTGTGTAACTTTTGTAGTCAGCAGTTGAGTAAGAACTAAAATCTGGAGCCACTATTCGTTTAGGACTAGTTTAAATCAGTGGCCTTAAACTATGAAATGTAAGCAGGTTCAAAAAGACAGTTAAAACATGCAGTTTTTAGACCTGCATTTTCCACTGCAGATTTCCACCACATTGAACAGTGTAAAAACAGACGTTAAAGTAGTCCTAAGCAAATATGCAGAACTAAAGCTTTGGTCCCAGATCCAGAGAACTGAGAATCTCAGGAAGGGGTGTGGCAGCCTCGGTGCAGTCAGCAAGCTCCCTGGGTGGCAGTTGTCATCTGGAGTCCAGTCTTCAAGCCGCTCTGCAGTCGCTCCCTCCCCCGGGACATTAGCACGCTTCCAGCCATTGATGCCCTTAGCCTAACTTGCGCTCAAGTCTGTTCACATAGTCTTGTTTTGTTTGATCCTATTTCTTTTCTCTGTTCCATGTTGTTGTTTTAGATTCAAGCTGGAGAATGTGTTGGGGAAAACACCACTGTAGAATATATCTAAGCAGGTGGAATAAACATTTTATTTACAGGACAGGTTTAGTTCATCCCTTCAGCATCTGAATCCTTAACCTCAGTCCCACTGTATTTGTCTACTGGCGTTATTGACAAGGGGTGTCTGGGTTGAGTAAATGTTTTAGAATTTGGGGGTAATTAAAATCTAATTAAGCAGTCTTACATTGTTTTCTTTCTTACAGGAAAGTCTCTTAAGTTATGTGTCACCAAGGAGATGCTGCTCCTTAGTATTACAACTGCTTATACAGGTAAGGGGATTAATGGCGGTTTGGGTTTTCTGTGGCTGCATGATGACAGTGAGGACTGAAAACAACCACCATATAATTCTTTCTCACAGCTCTGTGCACTGATGGGGCTCAGCTGAATGATTCTTCTGATGGTCTTAATTGAGGTCTCTTCTGGGTCCTTTTAGAGGCAGCTGGGGCCACAGCTTCTCGATAGTTTCCTTTGCATGTCTGAAGGGATTAAATGCAAGGCTGGGTGTCTGTCTGTTCACCGTAGTCTCTGTGGCTGCATGACGCCCTCCCAAGCGATCCCTTCCTTCTGACCCAAGAGGAAGGCCAGATTGCTTCGGGGGTCCAAAAAGAGCAAAAAGAGGAACAACCAGACTTTCTGAAGGCTTAAGCCCGGCACGAGCCCAGTGTCACTTTGACTGCATTTCCCTGGTGAAAGCATATCACAGGGCCAGCCCAAACTCAGTGTGGGAGGATTCTACACAAGGGTGGAACCCTGGGAGGCATGGTTCATTGCAACCAGTGATTTTTTTTTTTTTTTTTTTTTTGAGACAGAGAGAGAGAGCACATGATAGGGGGGAGGGTCAGAGGGAGAAGCAGACCCCCACTGAGCAGGGAGCCCGATGCGGGACTCGATCCAGGGACTCCAGGATCATGACCTGAGCCGAAGGCAGTCGCTTAACCAACTGAGCCACCCAGGCGCCCGCAACCAGTGATTTTAAGGCAAAATGGAGCTCTGCAGAAAATAACCCTGAGTAAATCCTTCTAACTTTCTGTGGATTCGTATACTTTCTAATGACATGGAATGAGCTCTGTGGCTTACCGGAGTCCCCAGAGCGCTCTCAGATTCTCAGAATCTGTTTCCTTTTAAAAGGTGCTGTTGTGTTGAGGTGCCTGGGTGGCTCAGACGGTTAAGCGTCTGCCTTCGGCTTAGGTCCTGGGATCGAGCCCCATGTTGGGGGGGGAGGTCCATGCTCAGTGGGGAGTCTGCTTCTCCCTCTGCCCCCCTCCCCCCGCTCATGCTTGTGTGCGTGTGCTCTCTCTTGCTCTGAAATAAATAAAATCTTTAAAAAAGTGCTATTGGGGCGCCTGGGTGGCTCAGTCATTAAGCGTCTGCCTTTGGCTCAGGTCATGGTCCCAGGGTCCTGGGATCGAGCCCCGCATCAGGCTCCCTGCTCCGCGGGAAGCCTGCTTCTTCCTCTCCCACTCCCCCTGCTTGTGTTCCCTCTCTCACTGTGTCTCTCTGTCAAATAAATAAAAAATCTTTTTTTAAAAAAAGTGCTATCATGTTAAAAAAAAAAGTGTCATAATGTGCCAGTGATTACTTTTGCCTTTATTTGCCTTATAGGTATAAACATTTTTTTTTGAGAAGTAGAATAAATGGTAAACGTCTTTAAAATTCAGTTAAGTTTTGTAGCATTAAGGAATGAGGTCTTCTGCTGATTGACCTTAATTTTTTAGCCCTAATTTTTAAAACTTCTTTTTCTGGGAAAAACAGTTTAATGAAAACATTTTATCTTTAAGCAAAGGTAGATAATATACATTGGTTTTCCAGACCTACATTCCTGTTAACCTTGGAGAGCTATTGACAAGGGTAAAAAGCACTTAAAAAATCACTATTACAGACTTACATGGGTACCATCCTCTGTCCATCCCGTCTCCACACGGAGGATCATTTTGTTTGTTTTTAATATTTATTTATTTATTTGAGAGAGAAGGCGTGTGTGCGTGCGTGTGCACAAGCAGGAGGGAGGGGCGGAGGGAGGGAGAGAATCTCAAGCAGACTCCCCGCTGAGCACGGAGCCTGATGTAGGGCTTGATCCCACAACCTGAGATCATGACCTGAGCTGAAATCAAGAGTCAGACGCTCAACTGACTGAGCCACCCAGATGCCCCGAAGGACGATTTTTAACAGAAGGGTTAAAGGGTTTGCTTCTTTGAGTTGTGTATTTTTAAAGATTCTTTTTTTTTTTTTTAAGATTTTATTTATTTATTTGACAGAGACAGCGAGAGCAGGAACACAAGCAGGGGGAGTGGGAGAGGGAGAAGCAGGCTCACCGCTGAGCAGGGAGCCCGATGTGGAACTCGATCCCAGGACTCTGGGATCATGACCTGAGCCGAAGGCAGACGCTTAATGACTGAGCCACCCAGGCGCCCCTAAAAGTATTTTTAGACTTTTAATAGTGTCCCATTTGTAATGTGTTTTTCTTTTTCTTTTCATTTCCTTTTCCAACCTTTTGTCTCTGAGCTTCAGCATGGATATTTTCTTTCTTTCTCTCTTTTTTTTTTTTAAGATTTTTATTTATTTGAGAGAGAGAGAGAGAGCACAAGCAGGGGGAGGGCAGAGGGAGAAGCAGACTCCCCACTGAGCAGGGAGCCCGATGTGGGACTTGATCCCAGGACTCTGGGATCATAACCTGAGCCGAAGGCAGACGCTTAACGACTGAGCCACCCAGGCGCCCATTGAGTTGTGTATTTTTATCCGAAATACGTGGCAACTGCCATCTTGTGGCTAATTCCATTTCATCAGCTATGTAGCATAAAACTGCTCTGCTTGAGGGGAGTAACGTGTCAGGCTGAATGAATTTTATTGTGTATGTATATAAAGCTCAAATACCACCAGCCATGAAGAAGAACCGGAATGGAGATTGTGAATGTATAATTAAATCTGCTTTTTTCCTAAAGGTCTGGAATTGACTTTCTTCTCTGGTGTCTATGGAACGTGTATTGGTGCTGTAAATAAATTCGGAACAGAAGAGAAAAGCCTCATTGGACTTTCTGGCATTTTCATTGGCATTGGAGAAATCTTAGGTTGGTTTAAAAAATGTTTTTATGTGAAATCAGTTCGTTGTAGTTATCATAGGTATTGTAAGTGTACTTCACTTCTCTGTCCTTGAATTTTAATTTCCTTGCTTATTTTTACCAGTCAAAACTGTAAGTAGGAAAACATACAGTCTCTCCCAGCTTTTTCTCTTAAAATACTTAGGGAAAGTGTCCTCTGAATCTCTGACACGAGCTGGATGTGCCTCGAGACAATCCACTTGGAACTCTTAAGTCCTGGAGTTTGTGTCAGACTCCACAGGTCCAAGGGCTCAGTCCCGCAAAGACGCCCTCACTTCCGGTGCCCCTTGTAAGTCCTGGGTCCACAGGCTACCTTCTGTCTGACATGGCTGCGAGTTTGGAGGTTCCCATGAGCCCCCAGGAAAATGCTATACTTACCACTAAAGCTTATTATAAAGGATACAGATGAACAGGCAGATGAAGAAGCACATAGGGCAAAGACCAGGAGGGTCCCAAGCACAGACACCTCTGTCCCTGTGGAGTCAAGGTATACTACCTTCCCAGTATGTGGATGCGTTCAACCAACCAACCAGGGTAGGTCTCCCACACCTACTGTTTAGGGGTTTTTACAGACATTTCATTACAGAGGCAGGGTTGATGAGAACATTGGCCAATGACGATTGAACTCAATCTCCATCCCCTCTCCCTGGTCCTGAGCCTGGGGGCCGGGGCTGAAGGTTCCAACCCTCTAAGCAAGTCTTGGTCCTTCTGCGACCAGCCCCCATCCTGAAGCTAACTAGACCACCCCTAAGTCCCCTCAGGAATCACCTCATTTGCATAAACTCCGGTGTGGTCAAAAGGGAGTAATGGAGAACAGAAGACACGCCTGACACAGGACATTTCCAGGGCTCTAGGAGCAGCTCTGGGCCAGAGAGCGAGGAGGAGGACAGACAAGGCAAAGACCAATGTGTATCTTTATTGTGCCACACTAGGTATTCCTTTTTTTCCAAATGTTTTTTATTCAAATTCCAGTTAGTTAACATACAGCGTAATATTAGTTCAGGTGTACGACATAGGGACTGAACACTTCCGTGCCCCTCCCACTGCTCGGCGCAACGCCTGCAGGTATCCCTCGATGCCTGGAGCGCCGTGCTGGATATGGTCCTCTAGGGGGAGCTTTCCAGTTCATCAGATACTTACTGTGCATCCATTGTATGAACAAGAGACTCCCCACCCCCATGGAGCTCATGGCTTAGGGAGGAACACAGACAGTAAAAACCCATAGGACCCTTAGAGTGGCCGGCGGTGATCAGCGTGACGGGGAGAGCAGACTTCTGTGGTTTTTGTTCCCTGCTTTACTGCCCACACCTGGAACCATACCGGGTGTTTATATGTGTTTGAACATGTGGAATACAGTGAGAGTAATTGTCTTAATGTTTTTGCTCATTCTAATATCTATGACAGTTCTGGGGGATTCTTTGGGTTTTTTTTTTTTTACAACTTTATTGAAATATAACTCGTGCCATATATGTCACCCACTTAAAGTGTATGGGTCAGTGTTTTTTAGTACATTCACAGGGTTGTGAGTCATCCCTACAGTCTAATTTTAGAACATGTTTCTTGCCCTTCCCCAGGCAACTGCTAATGTACTTTCTCCGTAGATTTGCTCATCCTGGACTCTCATGTAAATGGAATCAGAGAATACATGGTCTCTTAGGTCTGGCTTCTTTCATTTAGCATAATGTTTCCAAGGTTCTTCCACGTTCTAGCACGTATTAGCATCATCCTTTCTTATCACTAGATAATATTTAATTTTACTGATATGTCACATTTTACTATTTGGGTTGTTTCCACTTTTGGCCATTATAATTAATGCTGCTGTGGACATGTATGTACAGTTGTGTGAATATATGTTTTCATTTCCCTTGGGTATATAACGCACTGGAATTGCTGGGTCATATGATAACTCCACATTTGACTGCTTTTTCTCCTCATGATGGGTCCGATTTTCCTGCTTCTTTGCCTGGTCATACTGGAGATACCAGACTTTGTGAACTGTTGGATATTTTTGTATTCTTATAAATACTCTTGAGCTTTGTTCTTGGCTGCAGTTCATTTACTTGGAAACAGTATGATTCTTTTGGGGCTTGCTTTTAAGGTTTGTTGGACAGGACCAGAGCAGTGCTCAGACAAGGGCTAATTATTCTTCACTCTTGAGGGAAGACCCTTCTGTGCACACCCAGTGCCTGTGAGTCGTAAGATTTCCTGTCTGGCTGAGGGGATGAGGCACTATTCCCAGCCCAGGGTGGGGCGCTAATACATCTAATATATCTAACCCTCTTGGTTGGTTCTTTCGGGGGCCTCTGCTAATTTACTCACAGTATGTGCTGATCAGCACTTAGGGAAGACTCAGAGGGACCCTCTGTAGATCTCTGGAATTGTCTCTCTGTGCAGCTTTCCTTTCTGATAGCCTGTTGTGGAACTCTAGCCACTTAGGTATCCCTCCCTTCAGGGGGGCTGCGGGCTCCCTTCCTTCACTTCCTGTCTCAGAGATCACTGCCCTTTGTTGTCTGATATCTTGTGTCTCCAAACTTACTGCTTCATATTTTTTGTACTTTTTTTTTTTTTTTTAGGCAGGTGCTAAGTCTACTCCCTGTTACCCCACTGACCTAGAAGTCTCTTCTGATTTTTAAATTTTCTTCTGTTTCAATGGTTATTTTTTATTTTTAATATCTGTGTTTGCTTTCCCTTGATTAAATTAGTTGTTGGTTTATCTGTTTTATTTATTTTTTTCAAAGAAACAAAATTTTGATTTATTAATCTGACCTTGTGTTTTTCTATTCTCTATTCCATTGGTTCTGCAGGTGGAAGCCTCTTTGGCCTGCTGAGCAAGAATAATCGTTTTGGTAGAAATCCAGTTGTGTTGTTGGGCATCCTGGTGCATTTTATAGCTTTTTATTTGATATTTCTCAATATGCCTGGGGATGCCCCTATTGCTCCTGTTGAAGGGACTGATAGCAGCGCTTACATCAAATCCAGGTATAGTGACTGTCATTTTTCTAGTGATTTAAGGAAGGGTGGGAGGTAATGGGTGGCTAGATATTCAGAATGGAGCAGTTAATCATTTTCTGAGTCTGTTCTCTTTATAAGGTCATCTGTCAAATGTTAATGGAGCCAGAATTATTTTAAACAGGAGCTCGTGAGAATCCCAAGTTATTTTATAATTGTTGGTTTTGGGGCGCCTGGGTGGCTCCGTTGGTTAAGCGACTGCCTTCGGCTCAGGTCATGATTCTGGAGTCCCGGGATCGAGTCCCGCATCGGGCTCCCTGCTCGGCAGGGGGTCTGCTTCTCCCTCTGACCCTCCTCCCTCTCATGCTCTCTGTCTCTCATTCTCTCTGTCTCAAATAAATGGATAAAGTCTTTAAAAAAATAAAAAAATAAAAATATATTATAATTGTTGGTTTTAACCTTTCAGCCCACTAAATGTTTTTCTTGATCTATGAAAGAGCATATAAGTATCTGATGTGATGATATAGGTCTGCTTTCTGAGCAGTGAAGAACGGTGGTGAGGAAAGGGTAGGCCATCCGGGCCATTTACAGTTGGTTATATCCGTTTTGAGGATCTTACTTCCTTGCACTCAACTCAAATTCATTATAGATGTAGACATTTATGTCCAGATCCACCATCCAAGGGCGGCCCTGCCCAAACCCAGTGTTTGCTCCCAGATAGTTCATAGACCAGAGTTTGCTTGGACTGTGCAGGTGAGTGCGTTTGAGCATAAATCCTTACGTTGTAGAGTCCAGTGTTTATTTCTTCTTGTTTCATAGTGTTTATACCTTGAAAGTGAAATGCTCTTGTAAGGGAATTGCTTTTACATTGGGAAGGGCTCCAACAAACACTGTTAAGAGTGCTCTTTCTAAATTCATTTTCCTTTTTATGCAGCAAAGAAGTCGCCATCTTCTGCAGTTTCCTGCTGGGTCTTGGGGACAGCTGCTTCAATACCCAGCTGCTTAGTATCTTGGGCTTTCTGTACTCTGAAGACAGCGCGCCGGCCTTCGCGGTCTTCAAGTTTGTGCAGGTAAGCTCCCCTTTGGGCTGGGCTGAGGTGGGTGCCTTTTTTTTTTTTTTTTAAGTGCTTTAACATTGTTTTCTTGATGGGTTTGAAATGAGAGGCAGGGGCATCCTTTAAAGTATTTCTGATTGGACTTAGGAAGCAGCAAAGGGTGTGATTTTCTCCCCCGGGCTCCTGTAAGAGATTTTCCATTCTGGTCTTAGTGCTCAGATGAGAGGCTTCTTGCCTTAGATACCAGAGTCCCTTTGTCACATAGACAAGCCCATTTCTGACTGGGAGTGTACGTTATTTTATTAATTACTCAGTTTCTCACAAAATAAATTTTATTTACTTATTTAAAGATTTTATTTGAGACAGAGCAAGTAGGCACACACGTGGGGGGGGGGGGGTGGGGAGAAGCAGGCTTCCCGCTGAGCAAGGAGCCCCACTCGGGGCTCGATCCAGGACCGGACCTTGGGGTCGTGACCTGAGCTGAAGTAGGATGCTCAACCGACTGAGCCACCCAGGCGCCCCACAAAATACTATTTTAAATAACAGAATGCCACTTGCCGGATGGTTGCCGGCTCTCAGTGGGAGTTTACGGTGCGCGTTTGTGAGCTGGTGACTGGGGGTCGGTGGGGTCGTCTGGGTGCATCTTCTGACCTGGTCTGTTTCTTCTCAGTCCATCTGTGCAGCCGTGGCATTTTTCTACAGTAACTACTTGCTGCTTCACTGGCAACTCCTGGTCATGGTGATATTTGGATTCTTTGGGACGATTTCATTTTTCTCCGTGGAGTGGGCCGCCGCCGCCATCGTGGCCCGGGGCTCTGACTACCGAAGCATTTGACCTGGGGCGCCTGCCAGGTGGGACAACAGCTGCAGGTGGCAGAGGGGAGGAGAGCCCGGTTGAAGAAGCCACCTTCCCTTTCCGCAGAGTATTGGATGATGTTCAGGAAGGAAAATCAAAGAATTAAGACTGCTCAGTCTGCCAGGGTTGGTGTTCAAGTTTACAGACATTAGCTATTTAAAACAAGCAGAATAAGGGAAACTTGTTCTGTCAATTATACTCGTTCAGAAATGTTGTTTTTCAATTCCTCTGTCTCAAATTCCTTATTATCATGTTATGGAGTGTAAATGTTTTCTTCGCCCTCCTGTTCTCGTTGAAAGATGCTGCCCTGATTCAGAACACTAGGCCGAATGTCAAGTGAAGATTCTTGCTGGGCATGGGGTGTGTGCTACTATGTAATAATAGGGAGCATATGCCCGCCCCACATATGTGTCTGCAAGTGACATTTAAATAAATTGTGAGATGCTGTAGTGGAATCTTTGAAAAGATTTGCACTTTCTTCCTCCTTAAACGTTTTGCTTTGGTAAGTTTTCCTACTTGTCATTTGTAGCAAGGAGTAGCTAATTATTATAAAACGAGGTAAAAATTGCTGAAGTTTTAAAAATGAATCTAACAGGTAAATGAACAAAACACATTAAAAATATATATATATATTTTGAATTTATTCATTTGAGACACAGAGATAGAGCATGAGCAGGGGGAGAAGCAGAGGGAGGGAGAGAAGCAGACTCCCCGCTGAGCAGGCAGCCCGATGCGGGGCTCGATCCCAGGACCCTGGGATCATGACCTGAGCCGAAGGCAGACACTTAACCATCTGAGCCACCCAGGCGCCCCACCAAAAAATTTTTTTAAAGATTTTATTTTTATTTATATGAGCAGAGGGAGAGGGAGGGAGCAGACGCCCCGCTGAGCAGGGAGCCCGATGCGGGACTCGATCCCAGGACTCCAGGATCATGACCCGAGCCAAAGGCAGACGCTTAACCAACTGAGCCACCCAGGTGCCCCCCAAAATACATTTAAACAACAACAGCAACAATACACATTTACCAGAGGAGGATTTTTGCTAGCATTTTCTTAGAAGATGCAATGCAAAAAAGAAAAAAAAGGAAAGAAAGAAAGAAAAAGGGACATGTAAGCCATTCTGTAGTAGCAGGCTGCCATCTGTCCTAGAGCAGACATCATTCCTCACGTGTGTCTGGGGATGCAGCATAACTATCTGGGGGGGTGTTTAAATGGACTCGTTCACTTTCCTCCATAAGAGCTTGCATTACAAATTCTATTTTTTAAGATTTTATTTATTTGACAGAGACACAGTGAGAGAGGAAACACAAGCAGGGGGAGTGGGAGAGGGAGAAGCAGGCTTCCCGCAGAGCAGGGAGCTCGATGCGGGGCTTGATCCCAGGACCCTGGGATCATGACCTGAGCCAAAGGCAGACGCTTAACAATTGAGCCACCCAGGTGCCCCTACAAATTCTTTCTAATTGACATCTAATTCAGAAATCATGAAATTCACCATTTTAAAGTGTACAATTTAGTGTTTCTTTTTTAGTATATTCATGAGGTTGTGCAGAGAAGCACCATGATCTAATTCTAGAACATTCTCATCACCCCAGAAAGAAGCCCCATGCCTTTTAGCAGTCATTCTCCATTGTCTGGCCTGGCGTTGGCAAACACCAGTCTGCTTTCTGTCTCTATGGATTTGCCTGTTTAGCCGTTTCTATGAATGGGAGAGCTCACTTTTACCTGTGATATTTAACTGTAAGAAGGATGAGTTTTACGGCAAGGTAAATTCAGCCAAGAGGACAGATAATACCTTGTTTTCTATTGTTTTTTTTTAAAGACCGTTTAGAAGTTTGGAGATTTTTATAGTTGGCTTACAAATTTGAAGAAATTCAGTGGAGTGTGATTTTCAGACTTTATGGCACATGTCCTGCAGGGAGTCAGGAAGCTGTGTGGTCAGCTAGAATCCTTAGAGAAATGTCATTTGTGTGGAGCACTAAACTCTTTTGTTCCAGGTTGCATAAAGTTTTGGTTTTCTTTCTCGAAGTTGACATAAAGCCAGTTGTTTGTTGATCCTATATAAATAATTTATAAATGCTACTGCAGAATTAATACAAGTGATTTTATTGACTCTTTAAGCACGTGACTGCTTACCCAGGTGTATTAGTTTTCTATCATGGTATAATCATAGATTACCCCAAAACTTAGCCCCTTAAAATGACACACACTTACCGTCTTTCAGTCTCTGTGGGTCAGGAATCGGCGTGGCTAGGCTGGGTCCTTGGCTCAGGGTCTGTCACAAGGCTGGGTTGGGCTTAACTGGGGAAGGACCCACTGCTCAGCTCACTCTTGCAGGAGTCAGCTCCTCGGAGGCTCCTGGATAAGAATCTTTGTTTCTCATGACTGTTGGCCAAAGGCCACCCTCTCTGTTTCTTGTTACATGGAGCTGTCCTCAGGGCAGCTCACAACGTGGGAGCTGTCTTCATCAGAGAAAGCAAGTAAGAAGAGCCAGAGAATGGTAGCAAGACAGAATTCACAGTCTTTTGTTACTTAATCTCAAAAGTGACATCCCATCACTTGTGCTGTATTCTTTTTGTTAGACGCAAGTCAGTAGTTCTGGATGGTATTCCACAAGGGGTGAGTACCAGGAGTCAGGGATCCTCTGGACCATCTTACGAGGCTGCTTATCACACCAGGCTTAAACTCCCTTGCATTTAAGCTCACACTGGGTAGGCCCTGCATTCCCACATCACACCTCCTGGGCTCTCACTCCATTTGCTCATAATGGATCTGCAAAACGAGGCTGGTAGAGGTTAAGTAGCTTCTGTAAATGACACAGAATACTTCCCTCCAAGAAAGCCATAGCATCTCAAGTCGTGTCAAGAAGGAAATGAAATAGGGTGTGGTGCATAGTCAGGAACATGACTTCCGGGCTGCATCCAACCGATATGTGCAATCATACTCATTTGAAATTCTGTACTCACATTGTGTTTTCCGGGGTTTTGTTTTTACTCGGTTTTTTATGTCTATGAATAGTGTCGATCCTGGTGGGCTCTTCAGATGACTGGTAACATTAAGCTCATCTTTTAAATTTTTTTTATATTTGAGTTAAAAAGGAAATGTGACAATGAAATAAAGAGTTTAATTTTTATACTTGTCTCATACACTCTGTCAAATAATTTTATCTTCACATCTGTGCGTAGTAAAAGTCTTAGCTTGGTTTCACATGGGGGGTGTGTGTGCATAAATATGGGTGCAGTGCTCTTTTATCGAAAATTTAATGAGGTATATATTGAAATTTGGTTGAGACTTTGAACAACCTTGATTGAATCACAGATGTCTTCTCCACTAGTATGAAGAGCTCCCCAACCCCTCCCCAGGGTTTTCCCATACCCAAAGGCTTGAAAACTTTTGGTGGGAACATAAAATAGTGCAGCCTCTATGGATAACAATAGGGTGGTTCCAGAAAAAACTAAAACTAGAATTACCATATGATCCAGCAATTCCATTTCTGGGTATATACCCAACACCACTGAAAGCAGGAACTTGAAGAGATACTTATAACCCATTTACAGCAGGATTATTATTTTTTTTTTTTTAAAGATTTTATTTATTTATTTGACAGAGAGAGACACAGTGAGAGAGGGAACACAAGCAGGGGGAGTGGGAGAGGGAGAAGCAGGCTCCCCGCCGAGCAGGGAGCCCAATGTGGGGCTCGATCCCAGAACCCTGGGATCATGACCCGAGCCGAAGGCAGGCGCTTAACGACTGAGCCACCCAGGCGCCCCAGCAGGATTATTTACAGTAGCCAAAAGGTGGCAACAACCCAAGTCTCCATCTGCAGATGAATGAACAAACGCAACTGGGCTGTCCATACAGGGGAGAATCGTTCAGCTGTGCAAAGGTGTAAAGCACTAACACCTACAACACAGATGAACCTTGAGAATATTACACTGAGATATGCCTGTCCCAAAAAGACAAAAAAAACATGTGTCAAAAACCTAAAACAGTCAAATTCATAGAGACAGAAAGTAGAATAGTAGTTGCCAGGGCCTGGGTGGGTGGAGGAATGGGGAAGTGTGTTTAATGGGGTTAAAAAGAAAACCACAGGCCCAAAATGGCGTCACTTAAACCAAGTTGCCTAATCTGGACTTAACACCTACACTCCTTGCCAGTGTAGCCTGAACTGGTCAGTGAGGAATCTTCTGATCAGCATCGATGAGGTAATCTGTCACGTGGGCCTTCTCCAAACTGCAAAGGAAGATGAGGGAACCTGCGTGCCAAGACCCCCTGCCCTTCCCGCCAGGGAAGGTGATCATTTATCGGAGAGAGGGAGAGAGAGATCGCAAGCAAGGGGGAGGGGCAGAGGGAGAAGCAGACTCCGCCGAGCAGGGAGCCCGATGCGGGGCTCGATCCCAGGACCCTGAGATCACGACCTGAGCCGAAGGCAGACGCTTCACCGACGGAGCCCCCAGGCGCCCGAATTTTGTTTTTTGACAGCACGTATAGAGTGTCCTCTGGGGAAGGTAAGAGTCCTGTGGGTGGACAGTGGTGACGGTTGCGCATCGTGAATGTGCTTAATGCTGCTTAACTGTATACTTCAAAATGGTTAAGATGGTACATTTATGCGTGTTTCACTACAATTAAAAATAATAGGGGCGCCTGGGTGGCTCAGTTGTTAGGTGTCTGCCTTCGGCTCAGGTCATGGTCCCAGGGTCCTGGGATCGAGCCCCGCATCGGGCTCCCCGCTCAGTGGGGAGCCTGCTTCTCCCTCTCCCACTCCCCCTGCTTGTGCTCCCTCTCTCGCTGTGTCTCTCTCTGTCAAATAAAATCTTTAAAAATAGGGGCGCCTGGGTGGCTCAGTTGGTTGAGCGACTGCCTTCGGCTCAGGTCGTGATCCTGGAGTCCCGGGATCGAGTCCTGCATCGGGCTCCCTGCTCGGCGGGGAGCCTGCTTCTCCCTCTCCCACTCCCCCTGCTTGTGTTCCCTCTCTCGCTGTGTCTCTCTCTGTCAAATAAATAAATAAAATCTTTAAAAATAATAATAATAAACTGGGAGGAGCATAAGTGATTGTGTTTCAAGGGACCCCGGGACCGCCCCTAAATTGGAAGATTTACTGGAAGGAATCACGGGAATTAGCTTATAAGTGTACCCACGGCTAAGGTTTATTACGGTGACATGGTAAGGATGGGTCACGGGACGAAGACCCGGGCAGAGTCTGGAGGAATCCAGGCCCAGGCTTCCTTAGGCTCTCCCTCCCCTTGTAGCTGGGGCGCACGAGCACCTGGCCCTGGGGGCCCCAACAGACCAGGTTTGGCCAGTCGCTGCTGACAAAGCGCAAAGCCAGAGACACGAGTGGTGGGGAAACGAGAAAGGAATTTATTTCAGTGAGGTGGCAGTGGGAAGACAGCGTCTCAAAGACTGTCTCCAAGGTGCTGAAAACACTTCTAGGTTTATATAAGGACAGTGTGGGACAAAGGTGGGTGGGTATGTGCCAGTGGGCAGTGAAGGTCAGGTTGATTGTCAGTCACGTGGGGTCTTGCGGGCTCAGGACAGTCCTTATTGTTTTGAGGAGGTATTTCCAGTTCCCCTGTGGGATGCTTTGCCCGCAGGGTGTTAGGAGATAAGCTAGAAAGGAGAACTTAATTAGAAAGTACCAACTGAAGTCAGAATGGAGGGGGCTGACGTCCTCTTCCACCCTGCGAGATCGCTCAGAGAGCTCCCTCTTCCCCCAGTGCGGAAAAGGCAGCAACACGTGTGTGACGTTCCTGCCCAGGAGAGCCCACCGGGGACACAGCCCCCAGGGTTTGCACTGGGCTCTCTCTGCCTGGCGCGAGCGGGGATGCCAGACCCCCGGAGAGAAAGCAGACGTTTATGTAACATAAACCACATCGTCTGCCCCCACAGCCAGGGCTCAGTGAGCCACCCTTAGCACTTAACTGTTGGCTAGAAGTGCTCGGAGAGCCTGCATGCCAGCCAAGGACCAGGTCTGCAAGCAGCTTCCCAGGATGGTGGTCTCAGACCTGCCGTGTTAATCCTGTCGTGCACAAGCCCAAAGCCGTGTTAAGAAGGGTCTTATAGATAAGGTTGGGATAGTTCTTTCTCATCACCAATGATAAGGAATGGAAAAGCCTACAGAGGGAAAGGTCTTGAAATGAACTAGCCCTGAGTTTAATATCAGACATTTCCTTTAGGGCCACAATCCTTGGAATCCTTGCTCTGCCTGGGGCGCCTGGGGCGCTCAGTCGGTGAAGCATCTGCCTTAGGCTCAGGTCGTGTTCCCAGGGTCCTGGGATCAAGCCCCACATTAGGCTCCCTGCTCAGCAGGGAGTCTGCTTCTTCCTCTCCCTCTGCCACTTGTGCTCTCTCAAACAAATAAATAAAATCTTAAAAAAAATTGCTCTGCCTTGCTTGTACTTGAGAACTATACCAGACTTTAATAGGTAAAAATCTCCAATTTCCCCCATCTGAGACTTCCCAGGAGCTTTGTATTAGGGTACTTTAGAACTGTCCTCAAGAATGATGATCTCCTGGGGCACCTGGGTGGCTCAGTCATTAAGCATCTGCCTTCGGCTCAGGTCATGATCCAGGGTCCTGGGATCGAGCCCCACATCGGGGTCCCTGTTCGGCAGGAGGCCTGCATCTCCCTCTCCCACTCCTCCTGCTTGTGTTCCCTCTCTCGCTGTCTCTCTTGTCAAATAAATAAATAAAATCTTAAAAAAAAAAAAGAATGATGATCTCCTAAACCCATTTCTAGGCATGCCTCATTTGAATAAATGTCAAAAACAGGATAGCGAGGATTTGAGGGATTCTAGAAACTGTCACTGCTCTTCTTGAATCATTTTATTATAAATTAAATCATTTAAATAGAATATGTGTATCCTTCCTTTTTCCCTCAAATTGAGACACTCATTTTGGTTTTTTAACACCTTTTTAAATTTAAATTTTATTTTTTAAGATTTTATTTATTTTAGAGAGATAGAACACAAGCAGGGAGAGGGGCAGGAGAGGAAGAGAGAAAATCCCAAGCAGACTCCGCACTGAGCACAAAGCCCGATTCGGGGCTCGATCCCAGGGCCCTGAGATCATGACCTGAGCTGAACTTGAGTCGGATGCTTACCCGACTGAGCCACGCAGGCACCCCAACACCTTTTTTTTAAAGTAAATTGTACACCCAATATGGGGCTCAAACTCATGACCCCGAGATCAAGAGTCGCATGCTCTACCAACCGAGCCAGCCAGACGCCCCTTGAGACACTCATTTTGTAATTGAAAAAAATATTCTTTGTAATATTGTAGTTTTGGAATGTTGGTGAGGTCCGGAGCCAATGGCCAAGAAATAATTCTTGAGACATCTTTGGTGCAAAAAGGCGATTTTATTAAACCATGGGGACAGGACCCATGGGCAGAAAGAGCTGCTGCATGGGGGTTGTGAGGAATGGCTGATTATATACTTGGGAGTTGGGGGAGGTAAGGAAAAAGGGAGGCGTCCAAAAGGACTTTCATATGCTAAGGAGGACCTACAAGATACTGGACACCTGGCTATTACCAACCTAAGGTTGTTTTTCCCTCTAGCAAAGAATTGAGACAGTTGGGAGTTTCCTGGAGGAATGTAACACATTTCCCCACCCAGAAATCGGGGGGGGGTTGCGGGGTGTCACCTTGTGCTTTGTCTTCAGCTTGCCTTCTGCGCTCTCATCAATATAACCTAAGTGTCCACTGTTATTTTTGGTCCTCCAAGAAAAGGGAAGTCTCGGGCAAAGTGGATCAAATTCCAGCCATAGAGTGGGACAGATGAATTACTGAAGAGATAATTGGGTTTGAAAAGTTAATGTCTCGGGGCGCCTGGGTGGCTCAGTTGGTTAAGCGACTGCCTTCGGCTCAGGTCATGATCCTGGAGTCCCGAGATCGAGTCCCGCATCGGGCTCCCTGCTCAGCAGGGAGTCTGCTTCTCCCTCTGACCCTCCCGACCCTCCCCCCTCTCATGTGCTCTCTCTCTCAGTCTCTCTCTCTCAAATAAATAAATAAAATCTTTAAAAAAAAAAATTAAAAAAAAAAAAAAAAGAAAAGAAAAGTTAATGTCTCATTAAACTGTAACTACTTTGGCTTGTTTGGTTGGGTTCTTTTGGTTTAGTTCCCAGCAAGTAAAAT